TTTGGGGGGGGGGGGGGGGGGGAAACGAAACATCAGAAAATATTAAAATGAAAATTTAAAAATCTTTTGAAAAATATCTGACTAATTAATCTTACCGGGAAAGGATCTTTGTAATCCTGGTTAATATCCAGAGATGACGGAGGTTTTATCCTCCCTTCAGCCTCCAATACAGAGTCAGGGTTAGCCTCCGACCTCCCTCGAATCCAGGTATCATGCTCAGATTCTACCAAGTCGGTACGCGCTCGTGCTCGCGCATCATCTCCATCCCCGGCGTCCATACGCGCCTGACGACGGAATGGATGAGGGCGCGATGACAAGGAAGGAGAACGAGGAGTGCTGGATAATCGAGATGACGGAGAGCGATTGGTTGGGGAGCGTTTTGAGGGGGAGCGTATTGTTGGGGAGCGGTTTGAAGGGGAGGAGAGACCAGGGGAGCGGGATGAAGGGGAGCGCAAGCCTGGGGAGCGGATGGAAGGGGAGCGGATGGAGGGGGAACGGGTGGCAGGGGAGCGAGAAGAAGGAGATTCTGACACATCAAGTTCTGAAATTTACAAAAAATGTTTTTGGATTTTTAATTTTTAAATATCGTAACAACTATTTTATGGAGTTGTTTAAAGGGAACCGTTGCAATTCATTAATAGCTCAAAAAGTTGGATATCCCTTAAAAAACAACAGTTTAAATCATAATTTCAATGTTTTTAATTAGTAAATAATAACGAATGCAAATTAATGTTGTTAGTTTAATGCAAAAAAGGTGAGAATTTTAAATTTGCAGATCAACCTTTGGATTGCATTAGGTTTTTTTACAACCTCACTTCTTTTTATCTCTGACAAAACATTTCCCTCTATTTCATACTAGGGAGAAACTTTTTGAATAATACAAAACTTTTTTCGGATATATAAAAATTATTAAATTGATGGATATAGATGTATTACCTCCTAAAGATGATGAGTTGCCAACTGGGACTTCAATGTTATCATTCTCAGAATACCTAGAGCATATAGGTATATATATAGATCTCTTTTACCGAGAGTATCAAGGAATATAGAGCTCTCAGAGTACCTAAATTATGTAGAATAATCCCAGTGGGTCTCCCGAGTTCCCCAATCAAAAATTTGAGGTTCAAGGGTTCCTGAGTTATGATCAGAAAACAATCAGACAGACAGACAGACATATAGACAGAAAGCAAAGATTACAACTTTATTGATATAGATATAGAGTTCTCAGTATACCTAGAGTATATAGGTATATAGATATCTCAGAATACCTAGAGTATATAGGTATATAGATATCTCAGAATACCTAGTATATAGGTATATAGATATCTCAGAATACATAGAGTAAATAGGTATAATACCTAGAGTATATAGGTATATAGATATCTCAGAATACCTAGTATATAGGTATATAGATATCTCAGAATACATAGAGTAAATAGGTATCCGTATATATATATATATATATATATGTATATACGTTCTCCAAATTATATATTTAATTCATTTTAAAAAGAAAAACATTTTTGAAAGGCTTTTGCTTTTACTTTTTTTATTTATCCACTTTTTGTCAATGGCAAAATAATTTGTAAATATAAAATATTCATTTTCGTCTTTCAACATCAACATAATAGCAATAGTACTTACTACAGGTTTATTGATTAAAAATAATAAAAACTGTTAACAAATTCATTGGAAATAGTTTCCTTAATTTTAAATGAACCAGGTCGATTTGTTTAGTATTTTAAGTCTAAATTTAAGCAATACGTTTGTTTTTAAAGGATCTGTTGACGTGTTTTATTCTCAACTAGTTCTTTTCTATAGCTAGTGTGTTCTCTATAAATTTTTTTTGCATTCTTTTCCTTTGAAATATTTTTTGGGATTTTTTTATAAACCGGTACCTTATGATTCGAGATATTTTTGTTATACAATTTCTATGGAAATAAAATAATAAAATAGTTCCGTATAGATAAGTTTACCTATCCGCAGATACAGCTCTTCTATTGAATATTTCCATTCCTTTCTTTCTTCGGAATAATTTAGAAGAGACATTGTCCAGTGATCTCTGTCCAGGGAGTACATACTAATATTTATTCAAGGATACTGTACAGTGTACATGCTAATATTTATTCAAGGATACTGTACAGTGTACATACTAATATTTATACAAGGATACTGTACAGTGTAAATACTAATATTTATACAAGGATACTGTACAGTGCACATAATAATATTTATTCAAGGATACTGTACATTGTACATATTAATATACATACAAGGATACTGTGCAGTGTACATACTAATATTTATACAAGGATACTGTACAGTGTACATACTAATATTTATTCAAGGATACTGTACATTGTACATATTAATATACATACAAGGATACTGTGCAGTGTACATACTAATATTTATACAAGGATACTGTACAGTGCACATACTAATATTTCTACAAGGATACTGTACAGTGTACATACTAATATTTATACAAGGATACTGTACAGTGTACTTACTACTATTTTTGCAAGGATACTGTAAAGTGTTCATATCAATATTTATACAAGGATACTGTGCAGTGTACATACTAATATTTATACAAGCATACTGTAAAGTGTACATACTAATATTCATACAAGGATACTGTGCAGTGTACATACTAATATTTATACAAGGGTACTGTACAATCAGGTACAATGTATGTAATATATTTAAAGTAGACAATAATATTTAAATAAGCGTACTTAAAGTACACTTTAATATATAAATACAACCTATACAAACTCTGGATTACATATTTTTAGATTCCTCGAATAATATAACACAGATACCGGACCCATATAATTGCAGAGTAGAAGGACTACTGCTAGACTCAAGTTAGGATTTTAAAAAGTCCAATTAACATAAAACAGCAATTATTGCAGCTTTTTCACTTAGAAAGTTAATCTTTAAGCTCCTGGTAAACCTATTTACTTTATATAACATCAACACCACCATATAATTTATAAAATATCGTCTTTCTATTCCATAGTTTTATGGGTCCTACTGTACAATGTTTGTTTTCCCCTGTTAGTATATTCTCTGCATTATTTAGTAGAAGAAGAGAAAACGTACTTTTATTTAAAAAATTAATTTAAATGCTCCTCTGTAAGCTGAACACACACATTATCATAAAATGTTTTAAGTAAATGTTTTTTTTTAAATTATTACGTCGCTCATCTTCATCTCATGCGACTGAAGTAACCGGTGTTGCCCGTGGAATTTTAAAAACATTTTCGAAAAAATAATTAGAATTTTATTTTTCAAAAAATTCACCTCCAGAGTACTCATCGGTCTCCTCAGTTCAGCCATTTTTAAGATATATCGAACATAAATACAAATATATATCATATATATAATATATAAGACATTCGTAAATATGTTCCCTCTGGCTGGCCAAACGGTTGGCCCGAATGGGCTGAAATTTTTTTGTGCACACTCATGGGTGGCTTGGGGATGACATAGGCAAAAAAATCCAAATTTATTTTTCAACATCTTTTTTTGAATTTTTTATTTATTTTTTTTTCCACGGGCAATTATATATATATAATAGAAGCGAATTATACAGATTTTCTATTTAGTTTTGATGAAATATTCCGCTTTTCTTGGTTTCTTCATTTAGCTTGATTTAGTGAAATAAAAAATTTATAATAATCTTTTAAAAATCATTTTCTGAATTTCAAAATTCTAATAAATTTAATTAGAAATGTTTGATCTTTTAACATTTTACTGACTTTAATAAAAAAATGTCAATCTAACTAAAATAATCTCTGTATAACCAAATAATCTCTATATAACCAAAAAATCTCTGTATAACCAAATATCTCTATATAACCAAATATCTCTATATATCCATATAATCTCTATGTAACCAAATATCTCTATTTAACCAAATATCTCTATATAACCATTAATCTCTATATAACATAATATCTCTATACTATCAAATAATCTCTGCATAACCAAATAATCTCTGTTTTACAAAATAACTAAATAATCTGTATGTTACCATATAACCAATAACCAAATAATCTCTGTTTTACAAAATAACCAAATAATCTGTATGTTACCATATAACCAATAGCCAAATAATCTCTGTTTTACCAAATAACCAAATAATCTGTATGTTACAAAATAACCAGATAAACAAATAATCTCTGTTTTACCAAATAACTAATTAATCTGTATGTTACCATATAACTAATAACCAAATAATCTCTGTTTTACCAAATAACTAAATAATCTGTATGTTACCATATAACCAATAACCAAATAATCTCTGTTTTACCAAATAACTAAATAATCTGCATGTTACCATATAACTAATAACCAAATAATCTCTGTTTTGCCAAATAATCAAATAATCTGTGTTTTACCAAATAACCAAATAATCTGTGTGTTACCAAATAACCAAATAATCTGTGTTTTACCAAATAACCAAAAAATATGTGTTTTACCAAATAACCAAAAAATATGTGCGTTACCAAATAATCAAATAACCAAATAATAAATATTAGTTCCTTGGCTCGACTTCGGCAAAATTTACATCTTCCTGATTTCCTGGTTCCCTGACAACCATTTTCCTGCAGATATATACAGTGATAGGTGATAATATCAATACAATGAAGACGACTTTCGATTTCAATTTTGATTTATTTCAAGCTTTTAAAAACCATGGATACACATAAAAAATGAAAACAAAGAGAAACTTTAGATTAAAAAAGCTTCTCTTTAATTACTTGTACACTCGTAATTCGAAAAAAGCAATTGTAAACAATCAAAACTTAAATAAAATAGTCGTCTTCAATGTATTGATATGATCGCGTGACACTATAGTTTACATGCTGAACATACAGTGGGAGCCATAAAACTGTGGAATTGTAAAACGGCAATTAGACTATCCTCTTCCACTCTACAGTTTTATGGATCCAACTTTAAAAAATAGACGTAATTTGAAGTGACCAGAACTATTTAAAGAGTAGATTGTCCAGTCTAATAGTTTCATGATCCGTGCCCCGGTACAACACGTACTGTATATGTAGTCCGTCGTACTGTCCAGTCAAGCTACCCAATGTAAAGTCGACCCAGCAATTATAGATTGTCAAATTTATAATGGAACCCTTAAAAGCATGATCAAGTTAAAATTAGCTTTCCAAGATTTTAAGAACTAGTAATTTTTAACTGTGATTTCTCAACAAAAAATGACTAGCGCATTTCTTGCTTCAGATATTGAAGAGAAAATCAGAATGAAACATTTTGAAAGCGAATAAAACAAATCATTTTTTACTTTTATCAAAACAAAATGTCAAAAATCTTTGTTCCTGCAAGTTAAAAGGTGAAAGTTTATAAAGATTTATAAGGCATTGGAACAATCGAAAGATTTGTCTATTTTAAAACAACATTGAAAACTGTAAAGCATCAAATAGCATTTGCTGACATTTCTAATAATTTTGTAAATATTACCGCAAACTCGGAATTTTCACAAGAAAAAATATTCTGGCTTATTTTCTAAAACTGTAATTTTTATTTCCAGTATTTTATATTCTATAGACCATGTGACGGCAGTAATGATGGTCCAAATTACATTAATTTCTTTTAACCCTATTCCCGCTGGGGGGGGAGTCAATTTGACCCCCCCCCCGTAGTTTTTTTTACATAACTCAAAAAGTATTGGTCTGAGGCTGTTGAAATTTTCTGACTTTTCTTACATACCCAAAGCCCTCCCTTTAGGCCTAAAACCGGGCTTTAATACTAACTGCCTGAGTCCTCAGGCACACTGCCTGAATGACTGCTTTTGCCTGTAACAAACTAAATCTTTGTTTTGACCCACTTTCACTTATCAGATTTTGATAAAAATCAGGTTATTTAAAATTTTGCAAATATTTTTGCATATTTGAAATGGCATGGTCAAGGGCTTTTCAAAAATGTATAATTTGTCATTTTTTGGACAAAAACTGGATTTTGCGATAAAAAATTCCATTTTCGCAAATTTGCAAATTTTTTTGCAGATTATAAAAGTAGAGCACAAGAGCTTTCTAATGATGTATCATTTGTCATATTTGGACATAAAACATGGGATTTAGATGGGGGGGGGTCAAATTGACCCCCCCCCCCCAGCGTATCCTGGTTTTCAAGTACCCCAGCAGGGATAGGGTTAAAATATCAGGTTCAAAGGTCCTGGGGTATCTCTGAACTGAAGGCAAACAATAACTTAAAATAAACTCGACTGTTTTTGACATTTTGTAAAACGGTTCTCTTTATATAATAATTGTTGTACTTTGCAAGCAATTGGCAGGTGAAAGGATCAAATAATTTTGTTATTTAATTTGTTTTGAAAAAACTTATCTTTTCGAATTACCTCGGTATAAAATCCACAGAAACATGTTTTAGGAACTTCAACTGATAGATGTTCTGTCTGAAATGCTCCATGTGCATAATCAGCTGAATTGTTCAGTGTGCGATCAGCTGATTTCAAATCCGGGTTTTCCACAGGGATTTGTAATCCCCTCTCCACATGTTTGGGGAAATGTTGAGGATCCATGAGGTGTGTGTGATTAACTAAATCATATTTCGAATCAACGAAAAGATGTCAAAATCGACGCGAATTAAAAATATGCAATTATAAATGTCTTTTTTTGTGTAAAAACCTATATCTTTTAACAACCCTGAAAACCTTTTTTTTAGCATTAATATTAAATCAATAATCTTTTATTCTAAATGTTGTTACAGTTCATTTTCGAAAAATACTAAAAAGCTACCACCAGTTATATTAAATCTGAAGTAAACAATAAATATGTAACTTTCCTTTACTTTTTAATTTTTTGAATTATTCCCACAACCTCTGTTTTTGGACTTTTAAAAAATATTTTCTCTAAAAACACTTAATTTTTGTTTGTTTTGTTATATTTCATTAATAAAAAATTACTTTAATATATCATTTATACCAGTTACAAATAAAAAATTACTCAAACAATAGAAGATCGTAAACTAGAAAAAATTCCGAGCAGTAAAATCCGCGAAATTTTTAGTTTCAGATTAAGAAAAAATGGTGACTTGAAAAACTATGTTTACGAGTAAAATTGTTAAAACATAAAAAGGGCGCGAAGTGTCAATTAAAAGCATAGTTATAGAAATACATATATAATGCATCAAAATGAGAAATAAGTCTAAAATGCAGTCTGATAGATTTATAAATTTGACCTGTGTTCCCAATCTCATCATCCTGTTTGAGAAATTATCATTTATTGTAAAGTGCGAATAATGAGTGATGATCTGTTACCCTTTTACAAAGATGAGTTTTACCTTGTCAATCTCTCATAGTTGAAAAAGATGAAAGTTCCAATAAAATAAAGAAAAACGGGTTTAAAGAAATTGCAAAAAAAAGTTGTCCATTTTTTTAAGATAAAGAAATGTAGATGTATCTAAGCTATAAAGGCTTAAAAGGAAAAGACAGAAATAACTACCTGCATTTTCCAACTTCTATATCTTTGCAACCCAATCTTGTAGACCTTGGACATTTCAAACTATGAATTCTAATAGATCAAATAATCTAAGTTTGAAATATCAAAGGTTTACACCACCAGGTCGAGAAGATACAGGGATAAGAAAATTTGAGTTTGTGGCAAAGACTCAGTTCCTTTCAGGAAAGTTTGACCAAAACTTTGTTAAAAATTAATAATGGCATGCTTCAAGATAGATTTTTAGTTTTGGCATGCTTCAAGATAGATTTTTAGTTTTAGCATGCTTCAAGATTGATTTTTAGTTTTGGCACGCTTCAAGATAGATTTTTCGTTTTAGCATGTTTCAAGATAGATTTTTGGTTTTGGCATGCTTCAAAATAGATTTTTAGTGTTGGCATGCTTCAAGATAGATTTCTAGTTTTGGCATGCTTCAAGATAGATTTTTAGTTTTGGCATGCTTCAAGATAGATTTTTAGTTTTAGCATGCTTCAAGATAGATTTTTAGTTTTGGCATGTTTTAAGATACATTTTTAGTTTTAGCATGCTTCAAGATAGATTTTTAGTTTTGGCATGCTTCAAGATAGATTTTTAGTGTTGGCATGCTTCAAGATAGATTTTTAGTGTTGGCATGCTTCAAGATAGATTTTTAGTTTTGGCATGCTTCAAGATAGATTTTTAGTTTTGGCATGCTTCAAGATAGATTTTTAGTTTTAGCATGTTTCAAGATAGATTTTTAGTTTTAGCATGCTTCAAGATAGATTTTTAGTTTTGGCATGCTTCAAGATAGATTTTTAGTTTTGGCATGCTTCAAGATAGATTTTTAGTTTTAGCATGCTTCAAGATAGATTTTTAGTTTTGGCATGCTTCAAGATAGCTTTTTAGCTTTGGCATGCTTCAAGATAGATTTTTAGTTATTGCATGCTTCAAGATAGATTTTGAGTTTTGATCTATTTTTGCCAGGTTTTCGTAGATTTGTTTTGAGGACAACCTTTCGAAAAAATCTCCAAAAACATTTTTGTTGGATAAGTTGTAATATTCTTGAATATGTATTTTCTTAAAAGATCAACCATCCCTTTCTATGAAACATGCGTGGAGATAAGTTTCTTTAAATGATAATAGTTTCCTGTTGGTTGCGGAGGACATAGCAGCAGCAGCATCCATTTGGAAATAATTCTCTAAAATAAAATCTATTGTATTCGGAACAAGGAGTATTAAATACCATGGAGCAGAAGTCGAACTTTTCCGCATAATCATACGATTAATACATTTTTACGATTAATACTGGTAATGGTGGACATTGGTCACTAAAGTTTTATCCTTTTTGGTTTCAAAAGTACCGTTGTGAATCGGGCATTGAGGGTCACTTGGAATCACTCTTACAAGTAAATATAGGTAAAATATCCTACCTGTCTGTTGAGCAGGAGTGAATAGTTAATCCTGACAAGCATGCAAAAAATTTAATCCACAATTTTATAATTCAAAAATTGGTCGCCATCTTAGATAAAACAAACCTTATTCTCTTTCAGTTTTCTAAATTCATTCTGTTGGAAAACTGTCAGGAACTTGGTAAATTTATTGTAGAATTCTCTTCCAGATTTATTCAAGTTCAGATACAGATATAATTTTAAACAATCGTACAGTAGTGTCCAGAAAAAGGTGGAATTATTGTCGTCTTCTTTCTTTCTCTAATTCATAACATGTTGATATATTTTGTAATTTTTTAAATGATTAATTTTTCCAAATAGTTCTGTTCACTACTTAAAGATTATGTTCTAAAGCAACTAATTACAGCCATTAATTACCGAATTAATTACCGAATTAATTACCGTAAGTATTCACTGGGCCACTGTGGAATAAGAAGACGTACAAGAAACTCAAAATATGATTCTGAAAATTCCAATTAACATGAAACACAGGACTTGTGCAGTTTACACGCTAAACAGACATATTTTACATAATAAGTTGATTAATTCAAGCAATTATAAAACAACATTAAATACAAAGAATATTGCATTTGCATAAATGTTCATCGCTCAAATAATCTTTGAACTCACGGATTTTTATTTAAGAGCTGACTTTTATTAAATTAGCGTTAACACTATTTTAAGTATCTTTAAAAAGGATCCATTATATCTTTTTAAAGAATAATCAAAGATCAAATTAAAAAAACTTTTTAACTTTGATTTTCCCAATTAAAGTTTGATATTATTGATTGAAAGCACGTAAAACCAAACTAAATTACTCTTAAAACCGAAAAGATCAAAAATGATTTAAATTTCCAATAGGTGACCCGATAAATTTCCTACTCTCATACCTGTCCGTAAAACCTAAACCACAGAAGCTAAGAGGTCTCAAAATCGTCCTCGTAAGGTCGCATAAAGTTGACTTTCTACTTTTGTATATTTCTCAGTGTGATAATTTGCTTTGTTTAAAGGGAGTGTTTGCGAAAAATGAGAGGGGGTATAAAAAATTATCGAAAAATTATCGATGATGATTGCTACTAATCTTAATTCTTTCTGTTGCAACTTGCGTCTGTAAGGAGAAGTTTGTTAAAATTTGCCTTATAATTCAAAAATTTACTCAGAATTTTAGAATTTTTGCTTTATCATCCAATCCTTTAATTTATTTAGCATATTACATTACATACAATAAAAACAAACTAAGACTGTTTGATGTATTTTACTCTACCAAGTTTGCAAGGAAAAAACATAATAAGTATGCTTTTAAAAGATATCTTCTTCACAAAACAGAAAGAAATACTTGCAAAGGAGTTGAGTTTTTGTCACAAACTGAAATTGTCTAATGCTTATATCTTTGCAACATGATGGTGTAAACCTTTAATATTTGAAACTTAGATCACTTGAACTAACACAATTAAAATATCTAAATATCTAAGGTCTACGACATTGTGTTCTAAAGATATAAGGATTAGAAAATCAGAGTTTATGGCAACGACTCAATTCCTTTGTTTGCATAAAAAAACTTGTGCTAATTTAAAAATCCAATTATTCTGAATAAAAATAAAGAGGATTCAGTCGATTGAAGGTTAGTTTTGAGGAAAAGTAAATTTAAATCAGGTTGACTTTGATCCATTCCCCCTCCCCTTGGATTTAAGAAAATCAAATAAAACTGAAAACTTTTTAGTTTGACTTCTTTAACTAATCAAAGTCTTAAACAGTCATTAATTTTACAACTTCAACTTTTCCTGTCGAAGTTCAGACGTGATGTAGGGTAATAGAAGACAGAGGTTTTTAAAATTTAGAGAATTCCGATAACAAACAAATAGATCCATTATAGGTTTTAAAGGGAGTGACCGGCAATGTAGTGTAGTTGAACTGAGAATGTAGTATTATAGAGTAATTTTTTAAGATTCAGACCTATATCAGCCGTTTTTACGGTGAATATATTGAAAATGCACATAGATTGTCCATTTTGAAGGGATGATTTTGAGAATCTTTTTTTTAAAAAATATGATATGCACCGTAAAAACGTCTGATTGGTCTCAAATGAATCCTAAAAAATTTCTTTACAAAACTGCATTTTCAGTTCAAATACCATACATTGCCAGTCACTCATTTACTGAACTGAATCTTCATTTCTTAGCTGAAAACAATAAGCACTGGATAAAAAGGAATAATTAATGATTTGGCCAGCAAAAGCGTAATCTAATAATTTGATGCATTCCTGATGATATATCTTCTAACCCTCTAGATGGAGAGGACCCAGGAGCCCCGAGCTCATCAAACTGTTGCTGTAGAAAAGTTCTATTGCCTCCTGAAATATTATTCCCATCGTTCTTCTTGGTCAGTCCGCCACAGTTCCAAAAGGATAACGGAGAATGGACATTTGCACGTGATGGTGAGACTGAGGGAGACTTGAAGGGAGATCGACCAGGGGTGGGAGATAAAATAGGAGACTTATCCATTACGGGAGATTGGCTGTAGGGAAACATGAGCGAACAAGCTCCAGATAAGGAGGTGCGAGCAGGGGAGGTGGATGGGGTTCGTATTGGAGATATGGTTCCTTCACTTTTTCCTAATATATTTGATTGTGTAAAGATTGATGAATGGTAAGTATGAAAAAAAAGTAGTTTGAAACGTTTAACCCAAAACGAAAATAAGAGATTTTTTCAAGATATCTAAAGAACCCATTGGCCTTTTTGATAAAATTAATCAACATTTTCTTACCTGGAGACATTACTGATGTGGACAGCAATGTGGCAGTTTGACCAGAGAGACCTCTTGCTTGAAGATCAGGTTGCAATCTTTGAATATCTGATGTTTGATCAGATATATTCCACTCGTCTTTTTTTGTTTTGTTAAAGGGGAAACCTAAAATAATTAAAAGATATTTTATTATTGCTGATACCAGAGTTATATTCATGCTTGTTTACCTAAGGAAATAAAGAAGTACAGGGGTTGTGCGCATATTCTTATCATAACAATAAACATTTTAAGCAAATCTTGGAGTTTTTTTTAGGCTGAGGTTGAAAAAATGTGAACCTGATTGAACCCAGGCTTTAATGTCCAGTTTATTGGAAAAGATCATAAAGAGAATCAAGCCAAAGCAAAACTCGGTTAAAACAATCTGATTTGTTGCTTTAATTTTGACAGGTGCTTTAGAACCCTGGAAGGGTAAATTTGGTAAAACTGTAATATTTGCTCTTTTTCAATGGTTTCTATGGATTAAAGTATAAAATATTTTGTAAGATTTGTATATTTCCAAATCCAAGGAATTTATTATCTATATACTAACCGAAGAAACCGTGGAAAAAAATAATTTTTGAAAAAAAAAAATTTGAATTTTATTTAGACTAAAACACACCCCGCCACTCATAAGTGTCACAAAAAATGTCAGCCCAATCGGTCGAGCCGTTTGGATGGCTATACGCAACATATATATATATATATGAATGTCTTGTTTCATTATATAGATCTAATTATTCTGTTAGATGCCATCAGGGTTAAAGGTGTTAGTTGTAAACGGAAAACCAGGCATAACTAAAGATTGTGTGTGTATACAGAAGTTCAGATTAATCTCAACTCATCTTAAAAAATTTGGATCTCAGGAAAAATCAAGCTTTACAAAATTAGGGCTTTATTTTGAAAATTCTAGCCATATGGAAGATAGAAAAGACTAGTTTGTGGAATTACTATTTACTAATTGTAGTTTAAAGGGAGTGTTCGCGAAAAATGAAAGGGGGTATAGGCTTAATGCGATAAAAAAGCGCTTTTGATCACTACCAATCTTACTTCTATCTGTTGCGTCTATAAGGAGAAAATTGTTAAAAACGACTCACACCGAAGAACGCAGCGTCCATACAAATTCGGAAAGATGTAACATTCAACTCGGATCGTAAACAAATCAATTTAATTCCAAACAAATCATTCAGATATTACAAACAGTAGTCATCGATTATTTTTCGACGCATTCGTATATAGTTAATTAGGGTTTCCAATTTTTTTCGGATAGATTTGAATTGGACCATATACAGACCTTACAGAACCTTTCCTGAAGCTGTTACAAATTATAAACCATCACAAACTTCTGGGAATAAGAGACAGACAAATATACCTCCTAGATGCATCACAGACATAGAGAATAGAATATATAGAGAGGAATTAAAAGAATCTCTCGGTATGAATTTTGTCAGTCCCTTTCAGCCTGAAAGGGAGTTCAAAGTGTACAAATCATGTAAATGTTCACAAATTATTTGCAGTAGAGTACATTAATACAGTATGTTCCCTAGACTATTCATTTCAATTTCGAATTTTTTAAAGCTGTTAAATAAACTTTATAATGAATTAGGTGAATAAAAAACATCATTTGATTTATAGTTATAACGGAAAATCATAGTTTGTAAAGTGAAAGGCATAGAGTCTATGTGAAATGATCAATGGTCAATTATGAAACCAGCCTATTTCATAATTTGGGTTTCTTTTAACAATAATTTTAGATTTTCTATAAAATGATATTCCAGGGCCCAAATGGTTATATAGCATAAATATGTGAAGTACACATGCAGTATGGAAACAGTACAACAAAATGGCCGTTTTACACTTTTTTCTAGTAAATTCCCCTCTAATATATATTCTATTCTCTTTGATCACAGAACTGTGTGTGACCTGCTAAAAAAAGGAACGTCTTTTTTGGATCAATTTTAAATGGAAACATCATCCAGTAAACTTTTTTAAAATCTCACACAAAGCTTTGTTAGAATCATATAAAAATCAGTTAAGAAAGGTTCCATCGATAATTTCCATTTGTTGTCAGTGGTTTATTAGGAAATGTTATTAAAGGTCTTTACGGGTCCAAGTTGAACCGAAAAAAAATTGGAAACCATACTCAAGGGTTATTACCTAGATAATCCTGGTTACAGAATATTGTCTCTTCCATCTCTGAGCAAGTGACAATATTATCCAGTAAGCCAGAACAGTCTGATAGTCCAGTATCCTGCTGTATATATCCTGCTTCTCCTTGGTATACAGTAGCACTCTCACTAGTCCCTGATTCATGCTGAACCCAGCATCTCTGGAATACAATAAGCTTATTTTTTAAATTCACAATCCCGTAGATCAGGATTATGGAACCAGAGAAGAACTAGTCTTCTTTACCCTGTTTTTGGATTCTTAAACCATTATGTATTTAAATCTAGAAGCAATAAATTTACTTCTTAACACAGCCTCTCCATAAAATCCTCATCATGCTTTCCTACAGCTCTTTTCTCTTTACACAGCTACTTCCAAAGCTAAACAGTTACACAGTTTCTCCTTGAGTTCATCAGCTACACAGTTACTACTGACACTTATCAGCTAAACAGTTAGTCCTGTAGCTAATCAATTATACAGCTACTCCAAGAGCTAACAAAGTACCCAGCTACTTCTGGAACTGATGAGCTGAAAGTTAGGTACACAAGAAGCTAACAAGCTACTCAGTTACTTCAGAAGCTAAAATGCTACTCACCTACTCCTGAAGCTAACATGCTACTCAGCTACTACAGGAGCTAACATGCTACTCACCCACTCCTGGAGCTAACATCCTACTCAGCAACTACAAGGACACCAGTTCTCAGCAGGATAAATCAATGCCCCCCATGCCTTTACTAAAACTTATCTCTTTAAATGGCCGCTAGCCAGCCTTTCAGGTTGATCATGACATGGGAACAGGGCAGATAAGAAATTCTTGAACAGCTGCAGTTGTTATTGTTTCAAACTATTATTAGATTGTATTATCCGCCTTACATCCCATATTGCTTTGTTTTTGCATATTGATAGAAGCCTAAAAGTCATAATTAAACTTTTGATAATATTTGCAGTACTTTTTATTTTAGTGGTAATTTATTTGTAATATTTTTTTGAACAAAAATGTTGTTACTTTGATTTGGCCTCTTTAAAAATTCATCAAATTTCTGAGCACTTAAGGGGGCTGATGTTGAAATTTCAAGCCATCCGGTCCATTTAAAGAGACAACATGCCAAGTTTACTGTGGTACCCATCGTCTTACTAATAATATGGAAAACATTTATTAACGTATACTCTCTAACAATTTATTTTTTTCTTGCTGAAGCAGAAATGGGAACGGTACTTTGCAGAGAAACCACAATTGTTTAACTAATAAGAGAAGAATGCAGAGCTTTGGGAGTATCATTTGAATTAAACATGCTATTTCTTAATCACTTGAAATAACTTCCCTTTTCTTCACTTTATTGATAAAATGTAGTTACTGAAATGTTTATTTATTTGGCCTTAAAAACTTTACAGACTGCCTATATGTGATTAATTGATTTACAGACTGCCTTTATGTGATTAATTGATTTACAGACTGCCTTTATGTGATTAATTGATTTACAGACTGCCTATATGTGATTCATTGATTTACAGACTGCCTATATGTGATTAATTGATTTACAGACTGCCTATATGTGATTAATTGATTTACCTTTGAAGTATCTGTGCAGCAGTGTGAGTAAGTTGAACCTCCCCAGCTCCGCTCATCACCCGGATTCGGCTCAGAAGGTCTATCCAAATATTATCCAACCCAACCAATATTATCCAACCCAACCAATATTATCCAACCCAACCAATATTATCCAATTTGATAGAATATTTATTTTACTCTATAAATACTCAGTATTCAGATGTATTTAGGCAGCTTTTATAAAGTATTCATTTTACTTTTACGCAGCTTTTGACAACTAAAAAGATTTGTTTAGATAAAATATAAGAATATTTCATTGAATCAGCGGCTACTCTACTCCAGAGTCTGGGGAAAATCATCAGCATTGGATACTATTGGAGACCCCCATAATCTCTTATTATCCTTTATCAGTAAACTGTCCTGAGTGTACCCTAAGGCTAATATACACGGACAGGTTGCTTTGATCCAGAGATGTTAAAATTGAGTTTTGTTTATATTTCTCCCGGAGGCCAAAATTTATGAGAATATGTCGTTGAACGCAACTCCTGAGCTTCCTTTTTGGGGTTTAAACATTAATGTAGATTTTGATATAAGAAATAGAGAAAATTGAGAATTTACAACAAAAATAACACAATAAAATAATTTTTCGTACCAGAAATATTGATAGCTACTAAACTGCCTGACCTCATTTATTAAATAGGATTTCCGATGCTGGATTTCATGACCATACTCTGTTTTAAGTTTCGGGCTTTTATAGGCCTGGGCACTTTCAGACTTTTCAAGCATTTTGTTAACGGTTAGTTAAAATCGTTAAGAAAATTTCGGGTAGCAATTCTTTATTTAGCAAAGATTTGGGCATTCTGTTTATCAACTCTAAACCATTTGTTAACTATATTCTGTTCCTTAACTCTATTCCGTTTGTTAACTCTATTCCGTTTGTTAACTCTATTCCGTTTGATAACTCTATTCCGTTTGTTAACTCTATTAGCTAACTATATTCCGTTTGTTAACTCTATTCCGTTTGTTAACTCTATTCCGTTGTTAACTCTATTAGTTAACTCTATTCCGTTTGTTAACTATATTCCGTTTGTTAACCATATTCCGTTCCTTAACTCTATTCCGTTCCTTAACTCTATTCCGTTTGTTAACTCTATTCTGGTAGTTAACTCTATTCCGTTTGTTAACTATATTCCGTTCCTTAACTCTATTCAGTTTGTTAACTCCATTCCAGTAGTTAACTCTATTCCGTTTGTTAACAATATTCCGTTCGTTAACTCTATTCCGTTCGTTAACTCTATTCCGTTTGTTAACTCTATTCCGGTAGTTAACTCTCTTTTGTTTGTTAACTATATTCCGTTCCTTAACTCTATTCAGTTCGTTAACTCTATTCCGTTTGTTAACTCTATTCCGGTAGTTAACTCTAATCCGTTTGTTGACTCTATTCCGTTTGTTAACTCTATTCCGTTTGTTAACTCTTTTAGTTAACTCTATTCCGTTTGTAAACTATATTCCGTTTGTTAACTATATTCCGTTCCTTAACTCTATTCCGTTCCTTAACTCTATTCTGTTTATTAACTCTATTCCGTTTGTTAACTCTATGTTAACTCTATTCCGTTTGTTAACTATATTCCGTTCCTTAACTCTATTCCGTGTGTTAACTATATTACGTTCCTTAACTCTATTCCGTTCGTTAACTTTATTCCGTTTGTTAACTCTATTCCGTTCGTTAACTCTATTCCGTTTGTTAACTCTATTCCGGTAGTTAACTCTATTCCGTTTGTTAACAATATTCCGTTCCTTAACTTTATTCTGTTCGTTAACTCTATTCCGTTCGTTAACTCTAATCCGTTTGTTAACTCTCTTCTGTTTGCTAATTCTATTCCGTTAATTAACTCTTGTTTCTGTTCTTTGAAAAGTGTCCGTTTATTAATTTTCAAAAACTTCCCGTTTGCTAACAGAACACTGCCCAGCCCTAATCCCAGAAACAGGTGCTTACTTATTTTGTAAATAATTCTACCGTGGTACCTGGAATCGTCTCTGGTAGTTAGTATATGTTGTATGTAATAAGAAATAAATTATCCGCCCCACTGCATAATTTTCGTTTATTAATCTTATTTAGTATTTAATCTCATTAACTGGGAGATACAAAAGTACAAGAGCTGCAGATAGTATTGCTTGAAACATGCACAATAGAAATACAGTTACTAGTAGGGTCTGCTCTGTCGTATTCCTATTGGACGTTTATTATAATTTGTCAAGGGAGCAAGGCAGTGTCCATGAGAAATAAAGATTTGATAATTTGCAGACTGCAATGTTATTCCAATTTCATATACAGTAATTTTCTCGAAGCATGTTTGTTGTTTAATACAGAGTTTTGGGAAAAGAAATCTATTTAGAATGTCTTTTGGAGTGCAATTTTTTTTGCACAAATATTGGATGTTTTTTTTAATTTTGTTTTGGGCGCTTCATTTGAAATTTTGTACAAAAATGTAATGTAATATATAGAATATATATAATACAGATATTGGTTAAAGCATTACGACGCGACGCTTTGAGAAATGAGAAGATCAACTTTAAACAGAGTCGAGAATATTATATAAAGAGAAATTTAGTCAAAACAAAAGGTATAAAAATTTGCTAACATTTACAGGAAATAAACATTTTGAACAGGAGTTCAGGTTCTAAGGGAAACCGAGGGAAACTCTTATCATTCCTCTGTATAGAATTCTCTACCCTTATGGTCCTTTTTTATATTGAAGTATCTACAAGCTGTCAATATATGCACAAAACACTGTACTGAAAGTTTCTCTGCATTTTTTAAATAATCATTTAATATCAATCATGTACAATGTACATTGTACTTACAATTGTTTTTTAAGTTATTCTAAATTGTATGTCACGAAAAATTCAATTTTGAACAATGATGTAGTTCTACGATGCATTGGGCAATAAACTATATTGATCAGATAATATCATTTTTAGTTTAAAGGAAATCTAAGCGAAATTCAACAATACCAATAGTCAATTCACAAAGCTAGGGACCCTTAAAAGCTTTGTCCTATTAAGTATGAATTATATATGAATGTTTATAATTTTGAAAACTGATTATTTTCAATTGTGCTTTTTCTACAGAAGTGCCTTACTCACATCTACTGCGGGAAAACACAATTTCCACATTTTTGATCCGATAAAGGTTTATAGGGTAACGTCGCGAATCGGGGATTGCCATCTTCGCATGGAGGTTCACTTCAAATTAAGTTAACATTCCCTTTAAGATTCCCTTCAATTACGTGTAGACAATTCATTTTTGGTATTTCCAGAATTGGATTGATCCGGAAACTTTTATAACTTCTAACCTTGCTTGCATGATTGATAACTTCAGACGGTTGAGAAACTTTATAAAACTTGCCTTCCCCTTGCTTTCCATCAATTCACGGAAATAAAAAAGAATAATATTTCTCAAGAATCAATTGACCAAAACGTTATTTTGTAAAACAATTTCTTATTCAAACAAAAACAAAATACAGTATTTGAGTTTAGTTTAGTAAAGCATTATTTCAGAGGAAGTTCAGATTATTTAAACTACAAAAAGTTTTTACGTAGATTTTATTGTTCTATTAAAAGGACTGTCGATAAAATTTCAAGTAACCCTCCCTTTAAACACTTTTATCTTGTATAAAGAAAAATATTTCGTTTTTGTAGTTTGATAACAACGTATCTGATAATTAACTCCATTGTTTGTAAAGAAGAAATCCTCAAGTCATTATTTAAAAATGATCTTTTTTCAACTTTGAAAAGACAGAGCTTTGAAGGGTTCCTAGTTGTGAATAGTGCATGCCACTCAATAAATATAGAGAGTTACTTAAAGTTAGAGATAGAAACTTTTAGTTAAGCTTAGAGATAGAAACTTTTAGTTTATCTTAGAGATAGAAACTTTTAGTTAATCTTAGAGATAGAAACTTTTAGTTTAGCTTAGAGATAGAAACTTTTAGTTAAGCTTAGAGATAGAAACTTTTAGTTTATCTTAGAGATAGAAACTTTTAGTTTAGCTTAGAGATAGAAGCTTTAGGTTTATCTTAGAGATAGAAACTTTTAGTTTAGCTTAGAGATAGAAACTTTTAGTTTAGCTTAGAGATAGAAANTCTGCTATATAAACCATATCCTCCTCACCTTACATCTATTCACTCTGCTATATAAACCATATCCTCCTCACCTTACATCTATTCACTCTGCTATATAAACCATATCCTCCTCACCTTACATCTATTCACTCTGCTATATAAACCATATCCTCCTCACCTTACATCTATTCACTCTGCTATATAAACCATATCCTCCTCACCTTACATCTATTCACTCTGCTATATAAACCATATCCTCCTCACCTTACATCTATTCACTCTGCTATATAAACCATATCCTCCTCACCTTACATCTATTCACTATAAACCCTATTTAGTGGAGAAAGTGTAGTGTGCAACTTGTAAGGAGAACTTTGAGAGAGAAAGAATTAATATTTTATACTTTGCCGCTTATATCTATCTTTCTATCTCTCATCTCCATGACACCATAAATATAATTATTATTTTTATTTTAAATCAAATTAAGAAAAATTCCAGATTCCAAGTGTTAACTTTGACAGAAACTTTTATTATTTTTTCTAAACTGTTAAATTGTCCTTTGTGGTTTTCCTTTTACAATTTTGTAAACCGGGCATGCTACGAGAGATCACTTGAAATTACAGTTCCTTTATAAGTTAAACAACTAGCAAATAAAACATGATCCTGGCTTAGTTTAATCTCAAATTTAGCAGAAAATTCAGAATTTTAAAGAAGAAATCGATATTGGAGGTTTCAAAGAAATACATTATAACCATTTTCTTAAATTTTTGTAAGAATATTTTTAAAAATGTATCCGATTACCTTTAAAAGCATAACATGACGTCTTTTATTTTAAACTATAGTGAGAGCTGTCTGAAGTATAATAAAACAAGCTTAAGAAATATTTTATTGTAAAGTGCGGAATATAACGCAAATTCAGATTAAACAAACAAATTTTATTTAAGTATATAAGTTTTATAAACCTTAATTGCATCAAGTTGGTAAAAGTTTAAAATTAAATGAAGAGAGTTTTTACTAAAATTAAAGGAGGGTAGATCGAAGGAACCATTAAATTATGGATTTTGCGCTAATTGTAACTAGTCAGATTTATATCAAAGTTTTATGTACAAACAATGGTCAGTTGGACTACAATGTAATGAACATTTTCCCATCCCACTTTAATAAGAAAATTTCAAAACAAAACAAAAGTGATATTACTATAAAAATTCTCTATAGTTTCGGAATAAGTAAATATTTCCATTTACTGATAGCGCCGATTGAAGGATTCATAACTCTGATTGGATAATGAGATAGATAGAAAGATAGATGTTACCGCCATACTATTTCTATTGGTTCAGAATAGACATCAAACACATGACTGAACCATGATTGTATCAGACGCTAATGGACTCGGCATACAGGAGTGAAAAACTTATGTACAATTTACAATGTAAGCTAGCATGATCCGGTGGTATCAGTTGTCTGTAAGAAATTATGCATTAACTATTAATATAACCTGCTTCGAGGAAGGCAAGAGTTTGGACTCTTTAAAATTGTCTTTTTTCCAGGTTTTAGTTCCATGCTTGCTTTTGTTTTTCCAACCATGCTGAAATACAAAATAAGGTTTAGGTTGGGAATAGTTTTTTGTTCCGTTGTAAATGTTAAAATGTTGTATCTAACTTAAATCCTCCTCTATATAGGCGAAAAAAGAAAACTGACCTAGGATTATGATATCTAGAAAACTGACCTAGGATTATGATATCTAGAAAACTGACCTAGGATTATGATATCTAGAAAACTGACCTAGAATTATGATATCTAAGCTTGGATACATCTTGGACTTTCAGTCCTTGAGCATACTCTCTTTCATCTGCTAGATAAGGTTCATAGGCACCCTCCGACCTTTGCTTCTTCATTCTTCGTTCCCCAACCCCTTTCGGAACAGTCGGCTCAGCGCTATCCCGTTGGCAGCTTTTAGACTTCTTCAGTCTAGCACCCGTTGGTCTAGACAACGTTGTCGAAGAACCCAGCTCAGGGTTTAAAAGACCTCCTGCAGAGGGTCGAGGGGTAAAGGCGTAATCATATTGTCTTGGTTTGTCGGTTGCTTGATTATCCCGGGATATGAGGTCTAGTAGGCCGCGACAGGAGTCGGATAAGGATTGACCGGTGTGAACCGGATCTCGGTGTGTGCTCGGGTCCAACGGAGATGGGTCCAGGAGACTCCGCCCGACCGATAACAGGTTTTCAGCTTGCTCCAGCTCACGCTGAGTTCTGATCCAAACCAAAAAATTGTTACAAGCTGACTGTTTTGGTTGTTTTTCATATTTTGGGGATTTGGGGACGGATAGCTGTTATAAATTTCACATCCTAATTACAAAATTTTACCACTTTTTAAAAACAATTTTACAAAATACGCATTTTATTAATTTTCAAATCTAAAATCTTAAAAGAATATTTTGATTTCCTATGATGTTGTCTCGCAGGTTTGCATCTTGTTCCAGTATGTTTTCCATCCTTTTGCAGGAAAAAAAAATAACATGAGATGAAATTAATTGGTAAATTCTCACTATTTATGCTTAGCTTGGTATAATGTCTTTTATTGTTTTATTCATGCTGGAAGTTAGAAGAGAGTTGTGACAAAAGAATTGAACAATTGTGTTTAGGTCTTAGTCAGAGAGGGTAAAGGACGAAAGATGTGAGTAGGTATGGGCATCATTTTCATTGGTCTAGTTTTAAACATTCAAAATTGCTGGTGTTTTGAAATTATACTTTTTATTTATTCCCATTTGTTACTTAAACGAATTTAGATGTTTTACAGATTGTAAATTCCAGTTTTCTAAAGTTTCTTCTTTACATTATGCAAAAAAAATTATCTGAACAAAGATTTTGAAGGGAGTGGTTGCGAAAAAAAGAAAGACAGTATAGACTTACGACGAAAATAAAAGCGCTTTTGATTGCTATTAATATTACTTCTATATGTTGCGTCTGTTAGAAGAAAATTGTTAAAAACTACTGATGCTGAATTACGTAGCATCTCAAATCAAGAAAGTTGCAATCCACGACTGGAGTCGTAAAAAAATCAATTCAGTTTCAGACAAATCATTCAGATACTACAACCTCATCGATTATTTTTCGCCACATTTGTATATAGTTAATTTTTCATAATATTTGTTACTTCTTTTATATACAATGCCCTTGAAACTACGATTTATTCCCGCTAGGTGTCTCTGCCACGTGGACACATTAAGAGCATCGAGAGCAGAGACACCTGGCGAACAAACTAATAGGCGTTTAAGTGCATTCTAAATCTAAAAACAAATACAAAATATCATGAAATATCAACTAAATGCGAATGCATCGAAAAATAATCGATGACTATAGGTTGTAATATCTAAATGGTTTGTTTGATATGAAATTGATTTATTTTACGATCCTAGTCGTGGATTGCAATATTCCCAATTTTGGGGTTGCTAAGTTATTCTGTACAAGTCGTTTTTAACAATTAACTAGGCAATCCAGCCCTTTAGGACAAGGTTATATTAACTAGGCAATCCTACCCTTTAGGACGAGGTTATATTAACTAGGCAATCCTACCCTTTAGGACAAGGTTATCTTAACTAGGCAATCTTACCCTTTAGGACAAGGTTATATTAACTAGGCAATCCTGCCCTCTAGGACAAGGTTATATTAACTAGGCAATCCTACCCTTTAGGATAAGGTTAATTAACTAGGCAATCCTACCCTTTAGGACAAGGTTATAGTTATATTAACTACGCAATCCTACCCTTTAGGACAAGGTTATATTAACTAGGCAATCCAACCCTTTAGGACAAGGTTATATTAACTAGGCAATCCTACCCTTTAGGACAAGGTTATATTAACTAGGCAATCCTACCCTTTAGGACAAGGTTATATTAACTAGGCAATCCTACCCTTTAGGACAAGGTTATATTAACTAGGCAATCCTACCCTTTAGGACAAGGTTATATTAACTAGGCAATCCTACCCNAAAGTGCCCACTTCGGATATCGAGATCAAACGTTACAAGGTTATATTAACTAGGCAATCCTACCCTTTAGGACAAGGTTAATTAACTAGGCAATCTTACCCTTTAGGACAAGGTTATATTAACTAGGCAATCCTACCTTTTAGGACAAGGTTAATTAACTAGGCAATCTTATTTTAGGTTTCATCAACTTAATTTAGCTTTTATCCCCTTTCTTATGTGGTTTTATTATTAAGATCAAGAAATGTATATTCGACATTTTATCATATTTTATCTTTTAAGTCAGTATTTTAGATAATTGCGCTTTAAAATTATCAATTTTTACATAAAAAAACATGGCGATAAAAAATCAGACAAAGATTTAATAGGAACCGTTGTGAATTGGACTTGAAACTTACGTCGTCAGTCACTTTTAGAAGGGATAATACAGAATGCAGTAGAAGGAATAGATATATATAAATCTGTCATCTAGAGTAATTAGAAGGGATAATACAGAATACAGTAGGAGGAATAGAGATATATAAATCTGCCATCTAGAGTAATTAGAAGGGATAATAAAGAATACAGTAGGAGGAATAGAGATATATAAATCTGCCATCTAGAGTAATTAGAAGGGATAATACAGAATACAGTAGGAGGAATAGAGATATATTAATCTGCCATCTAGAGTAATTAGAAGGGATAATATAGAATACAGTAAAAGGAATAGAGAAATATAAATCTGCCATCTAGAGTATTGGGTCGAAATTCTGCAGTATACTTAATGAATGATTAGAAGATTTTACGACTAAAGAACATGGAAACCCTTCCTTTATGCTTATTTTAGTCTCAACATGGATCCCTCTCTACAAAATTCATGGACAATAGGAACTGAGGTTTTGTCACAAACTCTTATTTTCTAATCCCTCTATCTTTGCAACCCAATGTCGTAAACCTTACATTAATACATATTGCAAACTATGAATTATTTTATTTATAATAATCTAAGTTTAGACACCACCAGATTGTAAAGATAGGAATTCAGAAATTTGAGTTTGCGGCAAAAATAATTAATTAATTTATCAACATTTAATGGCATCAGTTAAGTAATCAATGTACGCTTTAGTTTAACTTTAACATGCACCTACGGATGTATCTAATTCGCTTCAATATCAACCCGTGGTGGTCATACTCTGCCCGGATAACTTCAACATATATCCTTAAATTTTAAAGTGCCCACTTCGGATATCGAGATCAAACGTTTAAGATGAACGATACTCTACAGGAAAGTTTCGAGCTCTGAATATTTAGTCTGTTATCTAATCCCTAAAGATTACATGAACCACTTAATGAATGTTCAAGGGGGAATTCCTCAAGCTAATTATCCAATTAAACAAGTAATACATCAGAATCTACAGGTTTATCTAAAATACATCAGAATCTACAGGGTTATCCACAAAGGATGAGACTTTAATGCCGACCTGAAACTCTCTAAATATGGCGTATTCGAATTTTATGTTTTACCTCGAAGAAACTTTGAACGGATAAAGGAGTTAAGTCTTTGCCACAAACTCATATTTTCTAATCCATATATCTTTGCAACCTGATAGTGTAAACTTTCGATATTTCAAACTAAGATTATTTGATCTGACAAAATTCTTAGTTTGAAATATCTAAGGTCTACGCATCGGGTTGCAACGAAATAGGGATTAGAGAATCAGAATTTGTGGCAAAGACTCAATTCCATTGATGTGAAAAGAAAAAAACTACTGAACAAAATTAAGAAAAAAGCCTAAATAAACGTTTCATCCGGCCTTGAGTGACGTTTTCATACAAGAGATGAAAAACAACTATTTATAACACTGTTAATTTGGTTCGCAGTGTTATAAAATTTTTCGACAGAAATTTTCTCTTTAATTTGTCCCGAGCTTTAACGAGGGACAAAATATAATCTAAAAAGGCGAAAACCTTCGAGATATAGAGAAAGTTTAAGTCCAAAAGGCAAAAACTTTATAGCACGTCGTGTCGAAATAATATTGTTATAGGTAATTTTTTGAAACGTTTGTGTAGTGTACTTGTCTTATTTCAATGACTATTTCTATAGCTCAAATAAGCTTTGAAACAAAGCAGAAGTAAAAATATAAAGTTGATTTCAATTTTATTTTCATTTCAATTTAAAAAAAATCATTTTGTTAATATACTAAATTTTTTTGAGAAAATCCGGGATCCAATCAAAACTTCATAGCACCGCGTGCTATAATGTACAGCTAATTTAACATTATAGCACGATGATTGCTTAATAGCACGTTTATTGCCATGTGATTGATTTTCAACTTTCTATAAAATATTTAGAAACAACCCTGATATTCTATTCTCTATTTTCTAAACTTATTAAATATTCAAAGAATTTAAAACTAGTCTGAATATTACGGTCCGTATTAAAGGGATTGTAAGCGTAATTTTAAGTGAACAATGTCCGATTTATAACAGTGTCCTTAATAGTTTTGTCTGAGCAATTTTAGATTTTGAAAACTGATTATTTTCAATTGTAGTTTTCTTACAAAAATTGTGTGCGCCTTTCTACAGCAGGAAAACATGAAGGAATTATTTGAGTTATTGTTATATTTCTAATTTTAAAAAGCAATTAATATTTTTACATTATTGATCAGATAAAGGTTTCAAGAGTACTGTTGTGAATCGTTGAATCGGGGCATTGTCGTCTTTGCATGGAGGGTCACTTGAAATTACGTTTACAGTCCCTTCAGAACATTCTTATTTTTGGTTTCCAGCTCTACACAAAAGTTTCTAAGTTTTAAGATTTCATTTTTATTTGCCAGTATCATACATTTTGCTAAAAAAAAATATTAGGCTTCGGTCTGTACTAACGAAATTCTTTAAGTTAATGAACAATCGTGCTTGTAGCTACTAGGCTGTTGGCAATTGGCATATTTCTCTCGGCAGAGTCAGCATTTTGCGGTTGGAGAAAAGAGTAAAACATTAAAAACAAAAATTTAAAAATTGTGTGAAGCCAAAAAATTAAATAAAAACAATGGTACTACTTATAAATAGAATTTTACCTGGTGGAGTTCATTTCGAGGCTCACGATCAGAAATCACTTTTCTTTGAATTACTTCCTTTTTTCGAGCCCCTGAACAACAATATTTCGAGATATAATAAAATACAAACATATATTAATGTCCTCTTTTTTAATTTTTGTTAGTCCATTTGTCATTTTTAATAAAGCAATCTCATGTGTATTCAATGTTGGAATAAATATTTTTTAAATGTGAAACAAAATATGGCTTTAAAACAATCAGTTTTACCAGTTTGTGTACACTTTTCATACAGTGGTCAGCGATCATATCAATAAAATGAAGACAACTTTTCTATTTATGTTTTGATTTCAAGCAAGGTTTTTTCATATTACAGGTTTACAAGTAAACAAGGAGAAGCTGTTAATTGAAAACTTTTCTTTTTTCAATGTATAATATGCGCGGTGTTTGAAAGGTTGTTAAAAATCGGAAATTGAAATCGAAAGTTGTCTTCATTGTATTAATATAAACGACGACCTCTGTGTAAAAATCGATCATCTCATTTTAAAATGTGGAAATCAAACCAAGAACATTTTTCCGAGTTCTCTTTTTAAAAGATTGAGGCAGACCCATTCAAAAAGTTGACGAGTTAAAATCAAACTTTCAAACAAACAAAGATTACTACTTTATATAATAACAGATACTCTGTTTTATTTTATCTAGATTGTAGGAATAAATATTCTTAAAAGTTACACTCGCACCGTATAAAAATCTAAAGTATTGTGACAAGGAAACTATATCACGGTGATCTAAATGTTGCAAGCTCTCGTGCAAAAAAAAATAATGTACTGTACTATCGAGCCGGTACTAGATATCTTGCCGCCTGGGCTGCTCGCCTAGTAAGCCCATGTGACACTCTTAACCTTCGGTGCCATACATCGATCATATCAATAAAATGAAGACAACTTTTCTATTATTGTTTTGATTTCAAGCAAGCTTTTTTTCATTTACAGGTTTGCAAATAAATAAGGAGAAGCTGTTAATTGAAAACTTTTCTTTTCAATGTATAATATGCTGTTTGAAAGGTTGCTAAACATCGAAAATTAAAATCGAAAGTCGTCTTCATTGTATTAATATAAACGACGACCACTGTATAAAAATCGATCATCTCATTTTAAAAATGTGGAAATCAAACCAAGAACATTGAGGCAAACCCATGCACAAGGTTGACGAGTTAAACTTTCAAACAAACAAAAAAGATTACTACTTTGTATATTAACAGATACTCTGTTTGATTCTATTTAAATTGTAGGAATAAATATTTTTAAAAGTTACACTCGCACCGTATAAAAATCTAAAGTATTGTGACAAGGAAACTATATCACAGTGATCTAAATGTTGCAAGCTCTCGTGCAAAAATTGATGAGAATTTTGCCAATTACGTCATAAAAACTAAAGCTAGAAATAAGTACTTATATTTTGGATATTATAATATTTAATTAGGAAATTATATGTATCTTGAAATAGGTAAACATGCAACCCCTTGTTTAAAACTCCATTTTTTTGTATCTATTATTTTTTTTCATTGGTATACATATATATATTTTTTTTGATTATTTGCCTTATTTTCTATTGAGTTTTACCTGTACTAGTTTGTTTATTCTGCTCTTCTTCCATTCTATTCAAATATCACGTTTTAACATTTTAAATTAATCACTAGAATTGAATGAATGAGAATCTAAAAATATAAATATTTAAAATATTTTATATATTTCGTGAGTCCGAGAATCATGTTAAATAAAAGATAAAAATTAGAGAGAGAGACTTTGTTGGAAAATTTTACCGGAAAATTTCTGGAACAATTTACAGGAAGATTTCTGGAACAATTTACAGGAACACTTTACTGGAATAATTCACAGAAACATTTCCAGAATTATTTACCGGAACATTTCTGGAATAATTTACAGGATCATTTCTGGAATAATTTACAAGAACATTTCTGGAATAATTTACAGGAACACTTTACTGGAATAATTTACAGAAACATTTCTGGAACAATTTACAGGAACACTTTACTGGAATAATTTACAGGAACATTTCTGGAACAATTTACAGGAACACTTTACTGGAATAATTTACAGGAACATTTCTGGAACAATTTACAGGAACACTTTACTGGAATAATTTACAGGAACATTTCTGGAACAATTTACAGGAACACTTTACTGGAATAATTTACAGGAACATTTCTGGAACAATTTACAGGAACACTTTACTGGAATAATTTACAGGAACATTTCTGGAACAATTTACAGGAACACTTTACTGGAATAATTTACAGGAACATTTCTGGAACAATTTACAGGAACACTTTACTGGAATAATTTACAGGAACATTTCTGGAACAATTTACAGGAACACTTTACTGGAATAATTTACAGGAACATTTCTGGAACAATTTACAGGAACACTTTACTGGAATAATTCACAGAAACATTTCTAGAATTATTTACCGGAACATTTCTGGAATAATTTACAGGATCATTTCTGGAATAATTTACAAGAACATTTCTGGAATAATTTACAGGAACACTTTACTGGAATAATTCACAGAAACATTTCTAGAATTATTTACCGGAACATTTCTGGAATAATTTACAGGATCATTTCTGGAATAATTTACAAGAACATTTCTGGAATAATTTACAGGAACACTTTACTGGAATAATTCACAGAAACATTTCTAGAATTATTTACCGGAATATTTCTGGAATAATTTACAGGATCATTTCTGGAATACTATACAGGAATATTTCTGTAATAATTTACAAGAACATTTCTGTAATAATTTACAGGAAAATTTCTGGAATAATTTACAAGAACATTTCTGGAATTATTTACAGGAACATTTCTGGAATAATTTACAGGAACACATTACGTGACAATTCAAAGAAATATTTTCCATATTTACAGGAACACTTTATAGGATTACAGAAACACTTTACAGGTTTGCAGGAACATTTTATAAGTTTATAGGAATACTTGAGAGGTTTACAGGAAAATTAAGTAAAAGGAACATTTTTAGTTTTACAGATACACTTATTAGGTTCCAGGAACACTAAATAGGTTTACAGGAACACTTATTAGGTTTACAGGAACAATTCACAGGTTAACTATAACTCTAGGTATATGGGAACACTATTTTTAAAATGAACACTTTATAGGTTTACAGGAGGAACACTAATTAGATTTACAGGAACATGTTATAGGATAACGTTACATGTAAACTAGAACATTATAAGTTAAAAGAAACACTTTATAGATTTACATAAACACTTTTGGACACTCCGTCCCTGCTGCCTAGTCATTAAAAACCATCTGTGATTATATTTATTTTCCAGGTTAGGTTAGGCTAGGACAGAATAAAGTCACAAGAGGTTGCTATATTTCAGAATCAGGTGTACGGAGGGATTCACGCCAAATATTTTAATAAATTAGTTTCATTGTTATATTTCTAATTTTAAAAAGCAATTAATATTTTTACATTATTGATCAGATAAAGGTTTCAAGAGTACTGTTGTGAATCGTTGAATCGGGTGGGGGGGAGTTAAAATTTTAGATAGTATACTCCCCTATCTCAACTCCAAGTGAAAATCGTAAGGTGTGGAATTCCACCCACTTAATAATTTGCTTAATTTTCAAGGAATTTTTACAAAATTAATGTTTCTGAATTCGGTGTTTCAAGAAGTATATTTTGATGCACATCTTATTTTATTTTGCCGATATTTTTTGACTTACAATAATAATTTGAAAACACAAAAAGCCAAAAGTTTGAATGCGTTTGAAAATTATAAAAAAAATCACAAATATTTTTTTTAATGCATCAAGGAGATTTTAGGACAAGTGAATTTGATCAGTTTATCTATAAAAAGTGTGAAATAGTTTCATTCTTAGACAAAATTAGCACAACCAGCATATCATATCCTTGATAAGACAAATTATAAAAGCTTATAGCATTGTGAATCTAATATGTAACTCTAAAAATGGAGGTTTACTTCAAATTACGTTTACAGTCCCTTTATTTCCCATAGGCCGTACTACCAGGGTATTTGTGTTTACCTCGCATCTGACGTCATACCATCATTTAGGATTAGTTTGTTTAACACTATAGAGGATTAATATCATGAGCTCACTGAACATTATTTTGTTTAGACACGTCCTATGTTTGTTTTACAGGGTTAACCATGCAATTAAAGAGATTGTAATAACGACCTTTATTATATTTAAGACAATGAGGGTAAATTTTGGTTGCTTGCCTGGAATATAAAAATATCATATAAACGATTTGTAAAAGAGAGCAATATGGTTCAAGTTGCTTTTCTCCTTTATTTTCCTATCATTCTTTCATTTTATACATCTCTATATTTTCTTCTATTTCACCCCTTCCCTGATATCCGTACCTCCTTTCTGTGTGACCAAATCCTTTCTTCTATAATCTATATCATCCATTCCCTGTATATCCGTACCTGTCCTTTTTTCTATATCAAATCTATTCTCTGCATCCATCCATATGCTTTCTTTTCTATCATGCATTCCGCGTTATCCGTCCCTATCCTTTCTTTTCTATCATTCATTCCCTGTATCCGTCCCTATCCTTTCTTTTATATCATTCATTCCCCGTTATCCGTCCCTATCCTTTCTTTTCTATCATTCATTCCCTGTATCCGTCCCTATTCTTTCTTCTCTATCATTCATCCTCTGTATCTGTCCTTATCCTTTCTTCTATAATCTATGTCATCCATTCCATGTATCCCTCATTGTCTTTTCTTCTATACCAAATCTATTCCCTGTATCCGTCCCTATCCTTTCTTTTTCTATCATTAATCCTCTGTATCTGTCCTTATCCTTTCTTCTGTAATCTATATCATCCATTCCCTGTATCCGTCATTGTCCTTTCTTCTATATCAAATCTATTCCCTGTATTCGTCCCTATCCTTTCTTTTCTATCGTTAATTCCTGATATCCCACCTTTTCCTTTCTTCTCTATCATCGTTTTCGTGATATCGATCCCATAATGTTTTCTCTATCATCTATTCCCTGTATCCGTCTCTATCCTTCCTCTCTATCATCCTTTCCCTATCCATCTATTCTATCTAATATATATATATATATATATATATATACATAAACATATAGATATATAGAAATATAAAGTCTAAAGCCCTAATTCCGTGTCTGCTACTATGTGTTGAATGGTGAACTAATGGAGCCTCTAATGTATTGATAAACAAAGCAAGATGTCGTGTTCTGCAGATTTGATGGGCTGTCACGGAGTATTAAGATGGGGAGCTGGGTTGTATAGTTTACTGGGGGCGAAGGGATGATGGGGGAATGGTATGCTAGTGGCGGAGGGATTAGGGTGGAGGTTTTACAAGTGACGGAGAGATGAAAGCGAATAGTATACTTGTGGGGAAGGAATGAAGGTAAATGGTTTACAATGGCGGAGGGATGAGGGTTTGAAGATTGCTAGGGAGGAGGGATTAGCTATATGTTAAGCTAGTGACGGAGGGAAAAGATGAATGGTATGGCAGAGGCGGAGGAATAAGGGTGGATGTATTCTAGTGGCTGAGTAGTAAGGGAGGATGGTATGGTAGAGGCGGAGGAATAAGGATGGATGGTTTGGAAGTGGCGGAGGAATAGATAGATGGTTTGGTAAAGTGGTGGAGAAATATGGGTGGATGTACGCTAGTGGCGGAGGAACAATGATTGATGTACGCTAGTGGCGAAGGAATAAGAATGAATTATGCTAGTGGCGAAGGAATAAGTATGGATGTATGCTAGTGGCGAAGGAATAATTATGGATGTATGCTAGTGGTGAAGGAATAAGTATGGATGTATGCTAGTGGTGGAGGAATAAGGGTGGATGTACGCTAGTGGTGGAGGAATAAGTGTGGATGTATGCTAGTGGTGGAGGAATAAGGGTGGATGTACGCTAGTGATGGAGGAATAAGTGTGGATGTATGCTAGTGGTGGAGGAATAAGTATGAATGTATACTATAGTGGTGGAGGAATAAGTGTGGATGTATGCTAGTGGCGGAGAGGGATGAGGTTGGGAGTTTTGAAGATGTTAGATAAGGAGAAATTCTTTTTATTTTTGATAAACAACTAAAAAAATAATATAAAACCTATGGTTGGGGAAAATACAAAATGGCTGCACACCAGGTTCCCCGCAGGGAATCTAGGATCATATAAATCTATAAAGAAGAAAATGAAAAAACTGAAAAATCTATGAATAAATTTTGAACAAAGCATTGTATAAATTATAATCTCTCCGAGTGTGTTAAACACATTTCTGTTGGCTAGGTAGTTAGTTGTAAATTGGTTGGTTAGGTAGTTGATTTAGTATTTGGTTAGTTATTAAGTATAGTTATTATTCTATTGTTATTCCTTTATTAGTTGGTTTGTTTAATTGGTTAGTTAGTTACTTTTTCAGCTGGTTTGTTAGTTAGTTACTTTGTTAGTTGGTTGGTTAATTAGTTATTTTGTCAGTTGGATGGTTAGTTAATTACTTTTTCGGTTGGTTGGTTATAGTTAATTACTTTGTCATTTGGTTGATTAGTTAGTTATTTTTTCAGTTGATTGGTTACTTGGTTGATTAGTTATTTACGTTGTCAGTTGAATTTTCAGTTGGTTGGTTAGTAAGTTACTTTTTCAGCTGGTTCGTTAGCTGGTTGTTTAGTTATTTATTTTGTCAGTTGATTGGTTAGTTGTTTACTTTGTTTGTTGGTTGTTTAGTTGGTTGGTTGGTTTGATACTTTGTCAGCGTGTTGGTTAGTTGGTTGGTTAATTACTGTTTCAGTTGGTTAGTTGGTTGGTTAGTTGGTTGGTTGGTTACTTTGTGAGTTGGTTAGTTGGTGAAACTTTGATCTTAATTTCATTTAATCATTTCTGTCGGAAATTTGCCAGAGAACTTGGAATAGGAGGGATGAAATATACAAGGAAGATACAGGAGGAATAGGAGGGTTGAAATATACAAGGAAGATACATGAGGAATAGGAGGGATGAAATATACAAGGAAGATACAGGAGGAACCCATATACCTTTATTTTCCAGAAAAGTAAGTGTCCTGCTATTTGTGGGAAGAATAAAAGCAAGCCAAGTGTTACTTGGATTCTTCATTAATATGGAACAGGGATGGAGCAGGAATGGGACATGGAATGATAGAAGAATTTCAAACGGAAGATACAATAATGACAGATGGATTGATACAAGAATAGAACATGGAATGATGATAAAGTATAAACCGGTCAAAGTATATATTCTTATAATTACAAAAATGCGAAAACTTTTTACAAAAAGAACATACTCTTATATTCGTTCTCTAATATTTTGTATGGTTTTACGCTGGTAAAAAAAACGCAATGTTTTAAAGATAATATAACTTTTTTTTAAATATTTATCATTACATGTGATTAACAAACAATAACTTCGTTCACAATAGTCCTATCGTGTACTGAGGAATAAAAAAAGTTAATAAGAAAACGATCAAAAACTTTAGAATTAAAAATTTTTTTCTTAATCGGAAATAGGTAATAAAAAACGCATTGGGAAATCCCTCCAAAAATTTGATCCGAGAAAAAGCTGAGACGGATATATAATATAAAAATAATATTAGGTAAACAGATTAAAAAAGTAAATTCCTTAAAAAAAAATTAGAACTTAAAAGTATATTGTGCAATACATTTTGTGAGTCATCATTCCTAGATCAGACACATTTTCTTATTTAGTCCAAATTGGCGCTTTAGTGATTGTAAATTTAACCCGAGGCAGTCAACCAATTTTCATTAGCTATGCCGTACCTACACAGCCAGGCCTATCAGGAACGCGCCCAGCCCTAATGGGCGCTGCAGTACAAATTAAGAAAGTAAGGTCGGGTCAGCTCAGATTAAAGTGTACCTGAGTTGAGTGTGATTATCTAAATTCGTCTAAATTGTGGGGTGGAAAAAATTCATCGTCTGAAATGTTTTACATGAAGAAATATCATAACAAAACTTATCATGCTATACAATCAAGATAATAATTTTAGGAATTGCTAAAAAATTATTAATTTTTAAGAATTATTGTTTGATACGCATATTTTCATATTTGAACAATAAAAAATTCGGTTTTTGTTGTGTAAAACCCTGTACCATGGTACTATTCTCGAAAAATGAAAGGGGATAGGTTGAATCTGAATCTAATTTTGATTAGATCGCTATACTGGTTTTACTTCTATCTACATCTAGCGTCTATAAGGTGGATAGTCCATACATAAATTTGATAAGTGTCATAGTACAACTGAAACCGTAAATTATTCAATTAAGCTTATAAACAGATCATTCGAATTTCTATTCTTCGCGAACACTCACTTTAAACTAAAATTAGAAGGTAAAAAGGTAAAAAATATCGTTGCTCAGAGAATAACTAGTTTCTGTAAATTACACTCACTGCGTAGATGTTTGTGATGTAAACCAATATTAGCTTATCTAGGCTATTTACACATTAACGCTTCAAAAACCATGAATATTACAATTTCCTCAGTACTATAGTGTTTTGTGGCTTCTCGCTAGAATACAAGTTAACAACTAAGACGACAGAGATGCAAAGAAGATGATATAATTATTTGTTTTAAAAATGTCTTCTGATTTTTGAATATTACATTTTTTAATAAATATAATGTGTAGCTCTTGATAATTAATTGTTAATATCGTTTGTTAAAGAATACAACTATATGTCCTATCGTTACAGTATTAATGTAATTCCTTTAATTAGTGAAGAGTAGAATTCCTTGTGTACACAGCATACATTAACAATCTATTTACTGTTTTATCCATGTTTACCACTCTTTATTGCTTAACAGGAACTGTACACGAAACTTTAGGGTTTCCACAAATTATCTAGTGACATGTCTGATTCACAATGGTACCCAGAAAAGCGTTTGTTGATAAAGAATGAATGAATATAAATATTTTTAATATTTAAGCCATTCAATTAGATACATGTACAGTTTATAGATAAAAGTGACTTGCAAATTTATGCTTTAAAAACAATTAAGGAAATTATCAAATTAAACACATTTTAAGCTAGGTAAACGATGATATATTCCACATCATTGCAAAACAAACGTACCATAAAAATATTGTGAATCGGGCATTCCCCTTTTTAAATATAAGGTACCTTGAATGACAACTTATACCGTCCCTTTTCAGAGGAGAAACTGTTAAGGGTAAACCCGGGGGGGGGGCCTTTCCTGAGTCATAGAACTTTCATTTTCATCACGTTTTGCATAATGTATATTCGTCATTTTTGTTTGATTTTATAACATACGTAACATGTAGCACTTGCATCTCCCTAGAATAAGCTGATTTTATGATAAAACGTAACACTAGCACTCACATGTCCATAGAAGAAGCTGATTTTTATAACATAACGTAACACTAGCACTTGCATCTCCCTAGAATAAGCTGATTTTATAATATAACGTAACACTAGCACTTGCATGTCCATAGAAGAAGCTGATTTTATAACATAACGTAACACTAGCACTCGCATCTCCGTAGAAGAAGCTGATTTTATAACATAACGTAACAGTAGCACTTGCATTCCCCTAGAAGAAGCTGATTGTGTAATATAACGTAACACTAGTACTCGCATCTCCATAGAAGAAGCTGATTTTATAACATAACGTAACGCTAGCACTTGTATCTCCCTAGGAGAAGCTGATTTTATAACATAACGTAACACTAGCACTTGCATCTCCCTAGAAGAAGCTGATTTGATAATATAACGTAACACTAGCACTCGCATATCCATAGAAGAAGCTGATTTATAACATAACGTAACACTAGCACTCGCATCACCATAGAAGAAGCTGATTTTATAACATAACGTAACACTAGCACTTGCATTCCCCCAGAAGAAGCTGATTGTGTAATATAACGTAACACTAGCACTCACATCTCCATAGAAGAAGCTGATTTTATAACATAACGTAACACTAGCACTTGTATCTCCCTAGGAGAAGCTGATTTTAGAACATAACGTAACACTAGCACTTGCATCTCCCTAGAAGAAGCTGATTTTATAATATAACGTAACACTAGCACTCGCATATCCATAGAAGAAGCTGATTTTTATAACATAACGTAACACTAGCACTCGTATCTCCCTAGAAGTAGCTGATTTATTTAGTTTACTGTCCCGCTTTGCCTTCAATAGTTTGAATGTGAACTGTACAGCTTTAATAATTGGCTCGCTATACTTGAAATGAACCAGAGTTTACAGAAGTAACTACGTGATATCCAGTTTTTAAAAAAATATTGAAATGCAAAAAAAATTTAAGCCGCGGCTAAAATATGGTTGGTTCCACTTAAAATTGTATTCAATGTTTGAAGATTTAAGCCGGCGTTCAATTAAAATTTCAAATAAACAGAATTTTTTAAATATTATTAATTGAAACTTATCAACTAAACATTTGGTTTCCAAACAAACAAAAAAGTAAAATCATTAATTTCCCCTTTAATCCATTCTTGAACATAGCTGTGAACTTTATGTTCAGCTGCAAAAAGTATCCGTTGAATATGAAATAATGGTTTAAGGTTTTAAAAGACGGTCAGTGTACTTACTGTCCCTTTAAATATCTGATTAAAAAAAGTTAATTTAAAATTTCCTTTACAACTTGTTTTCACGGCTGGCGCTGGATTTTCGAACATTCCTGGAAAATATGAAAATGTGGTTTCATTATTAAAAATCCTAGAAACAGGAATGAATGTTTTTAAAAGCAACTCTTGGATTATAACAAATAAAAAATATTATGAAATATCAACTATAAACGAATGCGTCGAAAAAAATTGATGATTATAGGTGGTAATATCTGAATGATTTGTTTGGAATTAAATTGATTTTTTTACGATTCTAGTCGAATGTTGTCAATTTCTGAATTTGTAAATAGAATATAATTATATACATATAAACCCAACAGACTTATAAGTATGCATTTTTTCAAACACTTTTTCAAACTAAAGAAAGACAATATTTCTTAAACTACCGAATTTACAGTTGGGTCCAATCTTTTTAAATGAATCCTTGAAATCGTTCATATTTTATCATAAATCGTTAAACGAAACATGTTTATTGATTTGGCAATGTTCGTTGCATGACTAACGGAAGCTTCAGAAAATTTACGGATAATTCCGAAATAATCTGTAATTTGCGATTGAAATCCGTCGGTTAAANTGTAAGGTTTGACTTCTCAAAATTCATCCTCACAAAATAATCCCAAATTAGAATAAAAATCTGATTAATGCAAAAATATTTCTATTTCGTAAAAATAGATCAATAGGCAAAATTACGTTAACGTAAATTTACTTTTAAAAAAACGTTAACGAAAGTTTAAAAAAGAAAACTAACGTATCCGACCCTGTTGTTTGATTGAGTGGTGAAAGAAGTTTTAGCAAATGTATTAATCCAAATAGATTATCAAGTACAATAAGTTGCAACAGAGAAATGGATTAACTATACACGACGTCACAAGTGTCAAATATAACAAAGGAATCGAAATTGTCTCATTTGACATGTTTTTCAAGATTAATCAAAAAAGTGTAAAAACAGAAAATAAATAAGACATAAAATAGCACCATTTTCACTGTAAGATAAGCTCTTTACTCTAAAATTATCAATATTATCAATAATTTTGTCGGACACAAAAACTGAGTTGACACTTCTGAGCCCGAAATTTATAAGAGTATAGTTGAACGAAACTCCCGAGTTTCCTTTTTGGAGTCTTAACATTTTGAAGATTTAATTTAAGAGATTCTCCAAAAATGGAGAATACGAGGAAACTAAATAAAAAAATATTTCATAACAAAAATATTGATATCCACAAAACTGCCTAACCCCATTCGTAAAACCCGGGTTTTAAAACTGGTTTTCATAACGATACCCTGTCTTAAGTTTTGGGCTCAGATGTAAGAATACAGCTGTACTGAGAGTGTACAAATACTACGTTACCATCTATTGTACTTAACAATATATTTAGTATTAATCAAACAAGTCAATTTATCTAAAGGAACTCTTAACAAGAGAAGTTTAGAACCACAAACAAATACAAATAAAGTCATTAAACATTTTCAGTGTTTGTTTTGGTTTGTAGTATCTACAGATTTATTTAACTGTATCACCCCTGTACACTGTACAGTGTATCTGCATAATAGTAGAACAATTATCTAAACCAGCTGAACTTGGTTCTTTAAGGTTGGTTTAACTTTTATAAGCAGGAGGATGGAGAAGTGTTAAAGACTAGAGGTTATCCTCTACTATCCTCTACAATCCTCTACTACCGAAATAACAGCCTCCTAGACACACCATACATAGATATATATTAGGATATCCAGGTGTTCCATACATAGATATATATTAGGATATCCAGGTGTTAGAATATAGAGGAATATAGAGGAATATAGAGGAATATTGAGGAATATAGAGGAATATAGAGGAATATAGAGGAATATAGAGGAATATAGAGGAATAAGGAGGAAAAAAGAGGAATATAGAGGAATATGGAGGAATATAGATGAATATAGAGGAATATAGAGGAATATAGAGGAATATAGAGGAATATAGAGAAATATAGAGGAATATAGAGAAATATAGAGGAATACAGAGGAATATAGAGGAATATTGAGGAATATAGAGGAATATAGAGGAATATAGAGGAATATAGAGGAATATAGAGGAATATAGAGAAATATAGAGGAATATAGAGGAATAAGGAGGAATATAGAGGAATATAGAGGAATAAAGAGGAGTTTAGAGGAATATAGAGGAACATAGAGGAATATATAGGAGTATAGAGGAATATAGAGGAATATAGAGAAGTATAAAGGAATATAGAGGAATATAGAGGAATATAGAGGAATATAGAGTAATATAGAGGAATATAGAGGAATATAGAGGAATATAGAGTAATATAGAGGAATATAGAGGAATATAGATATATTTACTAGGATTTCCAGGTATTTAGGTATTTCAATAGATATACTAGGATATTCAGGTGTTCCATTAATATATTTACTAGGATGTCCAGGTATTTAGGTATTTCAATAATAGATATACTAGGATATCCAGGTGTTCCATACATAGATATATATATATATTAGTATATCCAGAGATGGAATTTAAAGAATTTGAGCCGCGGTTTAAATCTGCCAAAACCCGGGTTAATTTAAGCGCCGGCTTAAATCTTGAAACATTTGATACAATTTTAAGAGGAACCAACCATATTTAACCCGTGGCTTAAATTTAAGCCGACGCTCAAATTCTTTAAATTCGGCCACAGGTATTTCATTAATAGATATACTAGGATATTCAGGTGTTCCATACATATATATATATTAGGATATCCATGTGTTCCATCAATAGATATACTAGGATATATCCCATGTTCCATTAATAGATATACTAGGATATATCCCGGTGTTCCATTAATAGATATACTATTCCTTCTTCTTTTCCTCTCTATTCTTCAATACCTTTTCCTCTATCTACCTCCTTTTTCTTTTCCTCCTTTTTCTTTCGTTCTAAATTATTTTTGTTTCATTTGGTTTTATTTAAATTTAACAGAATTGCGCCTCTCATTCAAAACAACCAACAATGGTTAGAGAGGCCCTGGCTAAATTAAAATGTAAAAATTGTGCAATTGTAATTGTTTTTTATTAAAATATTTAGTCAAATATATATCTATCTATCTACAAAAAACTGAGTGGTTATACAAATTTAATTTATACCCTAAGAATAATCATACAATAAAATGAACAAAAAATGATTAAGTATTAAAATTATAGCTTTGTGTTTAGTTTTTCCTTTATAACTGTTTTTCCTCCGGATCAAATTTGTGCAAAGTTTAAAGGGAGTGTTATTGCGTATTTTCAAGTGTCCCTCCATCTGCAGTCGGCAATATCCGATATTCAAGGATACTCTTTAAAGATTGATTTTAACAAATGTGTTACAAAAAATGAAGAAAAAAATTATAAAATAATTGCATTTTATCTTATCCAGATTAGCAAGAATCAGAGATTTTCAAAAATATTATAATGTTTCCTATATATAGCTGTCATAATATCGCAGTCCTTCTTAAAATTGGCACCCACCCGTGATTATACCATTTCAGTTTAGATTATGATAGAAAGATAACCACATGGAGATTGATTTGTTAGACGAAAGGGGGGAGGGTGCAAAACTTTTTATAAGAAATTATCAGAAATCTGATTAAATGGTTGGTAAATATATGTTTTATGTGAATATCACTTAATGAGCTCAATGTTGGTGAATTTAGTGTAAAAGGACCCATGCAGTGATAATAGGTTTTCCCCATACTAACCCCCCCCCCTTCCCAACTCTTATACATTTATGTATTATATATAATCCCTTTATGCAATATGAAACCGGCGATTTGATTTGTTTATATTCTTGTATGAATTCTTCTGAATTTTGTAACCCTGCAAAATTGTTTATTTTTGCCGGAAAATAATTTTAAGTTCTGGTTTATTGATTGATTTAGATTTCTTTACTGAAAAAAAAAATATTTATGTAATTGATCTCATAATCTTTTTTATTTAGGACTGACATTGATCTCACAATCAGGATTGATCTCACAATCAGGATTGATCTCATGTCCAGTCACTTTTATATAGAACCCACAATTGAAATTTATCATTTTTAGATAGAAAAAAGTATATTTTCATAATTTTTGCTCATGTAGGTTTAAAGGGTACCGTTTTGAATATCTAAATTAAAATTTGAAATTCCGTCTACAGTCCCTTTAAACAGGAAAAGTATTTTAAACCATACTGGATCAATTTTAGTTAATTTAATTCAAGAAAAAACGTTAAAGAGACAGTAGGCGTAATTTCAAGGGACTGTTCATGAAAAGATGTCGGTAATACCAGATTCACAACGTTACTCGTAAAAGTACGATGTCTTACCAAGTAAAATTAATATGAAATCGATTTTTTTTTTCAAGCGTGGTTTCTTCACAAAATTAAGTAACATGTGCATTTCTGCCGTAGGAAAACATCAAGGACTTAACAGAATTAAACACGGGTAAACCTCGTGAATCGGGCATTGCCATTTTTGCATGGAGGGTCAATTAAAATTACGCTTTTAATCCCTTTATTAAGAAAAAATTTGATATTTAAAGTTTAATCAGTATATAGATAAACATTTTCCTTATTTCAACAGGAACCCTAGCGTAGGTTTTAATAATTCCAGACAATCGAACATTCTTCGCCTAGAGGAATAAAGAGGAATATAGAGGAATATAGAGGAATATAGAGGAATAAGGAGGAATATTGAGGAATATAGAGGAATATAGAGGAATATAGAGGAATATAGAGGAATATAGAGGAATATAGAGGAATATAGAGGAATATTGAGGAATATAGAGGAATATAGAGGAATATAGAGGAATATAGAGGAATATAGAGGAATATAGAGGAATATAGAGGAATATAGAGGAATATAGAGNTGTTTATGAAAAGAAAATCACAAAATCTTAGAAGTTGTGCAGAAATCTGATCTAACAGAGGTAATTTACACACTCTCGTAATGAATCCAGGTTTGGACATTCCCCCCTTGCCCCCCCCCCTGAACATACGACCCTGATCTTATTAAAGACATTTTTCTCTGATTCTTATCTCCATGAATAAGAAACTTTGGATATTAGGTCTTCATTTTACTTTCTTAAAAACAATTTATAAATTTGATCTGTTTTTTATTAACTTTTTTTAATTGAAACATTGTATGTTGCCGGGAAATAATGTTGTTGCTAGGGGTATAAAGTTATTAACTTTATATACCTTTGCTTGAGGACAGCCAGGTTGATGGGTTTGATGCCTTGAAATCCAAACACTCTTACTTATCTCGTAGAACTTAGTGACTAATACACATACTCCAAACACAATAAGTATTATACCCATAAACATTCCTAAACATACACTGTAATAATATTATACAATAATTATTATACCCATAAACATTCCTAAATATACACTGTCATAATATTATACAATACGTATTATACCCATAAACATTCCTAAATATACACTGTAATAATATTATACAATAAGTATTATACCAATAAACATTCCTAAATATACACTGTAATAATTTTATACAATAAGTATTATACCCATAAACATTCCTAAATATACACTTTATGCTGTTATAAAATAAGTATTAAACCCATAAACATTCCTAAACATTATACAATATGTATTATAGCTATAAACATTCCTAAATATACACCGTAATAATATTACACAATAAGTATTATACCCATAAACTTTCGTAAATATACACTTTATACTATTATAAAATAAGTATTATACCCATAAACATTCCTAAGTATACACTGTAATAATTTTATACAACTAGCATTATAACCTTCATCATTTCTAAATAGACACTGTAATAATCTTATACAATAAGTATTATACCTATAAACATTCCTAACTGTAATAACATTACATTAATACATTTTATAAGAATATCACTTAATATACACTGTAATAACATTACATTAATACACTTTATAAGAATATCACTAGATATTAACTGTAATAACATTACATTAATACATTTTATAAGAATATCACTTAATATACACTGTAATAACATTACTTTAATACACTTTATAAGAATATCACTAGATATTAACTGTAATAACATTACATTAATACATTTTATCAGAATATCACTAAATATACACTGTAATAACATTACATTAATACATTTTATAAGAATATCACTAAATATACAGTGTAATAACATTACATTAATACACTTTATAAGAATATCACTTAATATACACTGTAATAACATTACATTAATACACTTTATAAGAATATTACTAAATATACACTATAATAATAATATAATATAATAATAATCAATACACTTTATAAGAATATCACTAGATATACAATATATAATAACATTACATATTTACATTATTTAAGAAAATCAGGTTGAAACTGAAAATTGGAATTCTTACAAAGAAAACTTAGAACAAACAATTAAGAATATTGAAATAAAATGTGTGTTCACAAGGACCGTTGTTCTTTATTTAAATAACCCTCCATTAACAGAGGGCCTTTCCTGATTCACAACAGTATCCTTTATTCCTTTATCTGAGCAATTATGTGGAAGATATTGTCGTTTATCTAACTTGAAATGTGATTAATTCTGATAACTTCATCCATTGTTTCTTTAGCAGGACATCCGAAAATAACCATGCGAAAATAACAAAGATTTAAGGGTACCGTTGTGAATCGGAAATGCCACTCTATAAATGGAGGATTTCAAGAAACTATAGTTTCTATAGAGTTCCTAAAGAAGAAATAAAATCTAACCTAAGTAAAGTGAAATCATTATAATTTGAAAATGTTCTCCAATATTTTCATAAAAAACTGTTTTCTCCTCTTGTAGACCTAACACATCCTAAAAGGAGACGGAGGGGAAATCATTATTTTAATTTTTGAACTTTTTAATTAGATCTCATTATAAAATATGTCGTCGAGAAAATTAAACAAATTTGAAATTCTTTTTTAAAGAATAAATTACTTTCCTTTAAACATAGATTCAGCCTACCTTTAAAAATTCTCATAATTTTTTTAGACAGAATTGACTTTGAAGTGTCGCAACGCCTTGGGCTTTGATTTTACCGCTTTTACTCACTTATGCTTTTCTGTAGCCTTTTACGTGTACATTTTAGCTCTATAAAGCACTTGTTGTTAGCTTTGGTTTTTACTTGAGATCTAGAGACCTTTAAATCAGGTACGAATTCAAACATAAAATTGTAAATAATTGCATTTAATATTCTCATTTAGAAAAATTATTGTTTGCTGAAATCTATACTTTAAACTTAAATAGACAATTCACAAACCATGAACTTCATCTTACCTGTCGTATCTCTTCTTTTTCTTCAGTATTCACATAAAATGTGTAATCAATTTCATGAACTGAAAGAAAATTTAAGAAAAAAAAGTCAGTTAAACGTTTTCTATCATAACTCTTCCTTCGGAAAACCTATTGAGAATAAAAAAGATTTGAATTTTTAATATATATGCAAATTAATACTCTCCTACTTTGGGGGTTTCCTAATTGTTATCTGCATGTTTTGTACTCGTTAAATATATATAGAAAGAACTTTTCAATTCATCAGTTATATGGCAACAATTGTATAATCATATCTATTTTTATTCCTTAAAATTAGATGCTAATGCACGTGTTCAAGTTCCTTGCCTTTGAATGATATTTTCTAATTTGGACGTTTTTTTATACGTATCAAAAAATATTTTTAAACCAATAGGAAAAGTATACTTCAAGTTAGGGTTTCTAATCTGTTCCGGGGGAATTTTGTTTCGTAGAGAACTAACGGAGCCAGGTGTAAGTGTGACATGCTAAAAAAGTTCACGGGACGATCATCCCGAATCAATTTTATATGGAATAATCGAAACGTAAACTTTTATCATGATTTATCATTCTTATACAGTAAGGTAAGGTATCCACGGAACAAAATTGACCAGGAAGAAATTGGAAACCCTACTGCATGAACTGCATACTGCAAGTCTTTTTGTTAAGAAGGCTAAGTCGATGAATGTCTTAAATTCGGTAAAGCCTTTAGGATTCCAATATTCGGCCTCAGGCTCACCTTGGTCAGCCTTGTTATCAATTTCATTATAATCAAGTAGATCGCCTTCGATCCCTTCCATCCCGTCAATCCATTCCATCCCGTTGATCCCTTCCATCCCGTCGATCCCTTCCATCCCGTTGATCCCTTCAGCAGGGATTGAATCAACAACCAATCCCAGGTTGAAATAGTCAATATCATTCTCAGCATCATTTAAATTCGTCATCACTGAAAATATAAAAAACGCATTTTTACAGTTAGATCCATAGAAGAGGAAGACGAAATTTAAGCGATCTACAGAGTTACCCATAAAGGATGAGACTTAGAGACGATTGTACGGAATTTGTTTTATTGTAATTAAAGGTTCCTTGTAGGCTAAAACTAGCTTATTTCTGTGCTTAATCATTTAACACACCATCAAATTACTCATTTGAATGCAGAAACCAAAAGTCAAGCTTTAAATTGTGATATTGTTAGAGTTTTGGGTCGTCTTTACAGTCTCATCCTTTGTGGGTATTCCTGTATATGCTTATTTTTTGTTGTTTAAACTTTAGCTTTATCAGGAGTTAACCAACTTAAAAAGTACAATGGATCTGAGTGCGCTGCACCATTTCAGATCAAAATTTGAGTCTAACAGCTATCTTCCTGTTTCCTAGTTTTTTGGGACACCCTGTATCTTAATCCTTGTGCCAATTATTTTACCCAACTCAAGGTTACACTTTTCAAATAGAACGTCAAAATAAGGATAAGGTCAAATTTTTAAGAATTTGAGCCGCGCCTCAAATTTGAGACGCAGCTCAAACATAAAATTGTATTCAATGTTTCGAGATTTGAGCTGGCACTCCATTGGAACCGGTTTTGGCGGCTCAGCGACTCGGTTTGAATTCTTTAAATTCGGCCTCAGAGCATAAATCCAAATCAAATTGATCGCTAAAATTCTTATTTCTCTTTTCATTGTTTTTTACCAAAGAAGTTGTAAAACTGGGAAAAGATTTCATACAGGATGTCCCCCGAAACATGAGTAAAAAGATCGTTTTTAATCTTTGAAATAATTTACGGAACTTGACCGACAACCTAATTTTACAATTAACCCTCGAAAAAAACGGTTCTAAGATCGTCTTCAATCTTGAAATAATTCATGGAACTTGGTCGTCAACCTAATTTTTCAATTAACACTCGATAAAAATAATTACAAAATCCCCCTATCCATCGGATTTCTAAAATGTGATTTCAATATTACCTCCACCATCTTTTTTCAACCGTCAAGTTTTGTGGGACACCCTGTTATAAACTTTTCTACGCAGGATTATCGGAGGCAAATAGGAATCGAGCTTAATCAGTATTTATCCTATTGTTTATTTCCTCAAATTTTATCTGTGTCAAAAAAAGTTATAAACATCGCCCAACCTTTATATGTTTCTTGAATGTCCGCTAGAATTGTGTTATCCTGAAAAAGTAAAATCTTTAAAGGAACTGTAACTGTAAGCGACCCTTAGTTAAAAGAGTCTCAAAAAGTCACTTTTACAGAGAACCACCCGTTATCAATAATCAATATTTTCAGATAGAAAATAAAAATATCCATTCATTCTATAACTCAGACAAAAGGGAGTACTGTCGGATTTGCCACTATAAAAAGGGAAAACACTGTACATTGCACAGTTGTACAGTTGTGTAGACTGTACAGTTGTGTAGACTGTACAGTTGTGAAGACTGTACAGTTGTGTACACTGTACAGTTGTGTACACTGTGTACAGGATTACCCATAAAGAATAAAACTAAGATAGGACTTTACGAAATTTCTCCAAAATTTCTCTTACACTCTTGGTTGCATCATTGCATGCAGTTTTGAAATTGTTTCTCTCTTTGCAAAATCATTTAATAAAACATTGACGGTCTAGACAAAAGAGTAATATTCAAATCATTCAACTTCAATAGTTTTTGATCCTCTCTGAAGTTTCATCCTTTGTGTGTAACCCTGTATGCACCTTCACTTTATTCTTACCGCTGGGATCTTTTTATCCAAATTCGCCGCAAATTCTGAAAATAAAATGTTTGAGAGCTTTAATCTTAAAAAGAGAAAAAGATTTTTTCAAACATAAATGTCCATCAATTAACTTTAAAATGTTGTCCATTGATTGAAATTTTAAACAGTAAAATAAGTGACGATTGAATGGCATTAATTTGGTTAGTTCTATTCGACTGATGATTTTTAAAAGCCAACACACATATACACTATACAGTGTGAAATGCATGTAGGTTCTAACATTTTAAAACTGTTTTTTATTAAAGTTTGCTTAATCAAATTTGAGTTAGTTTTTCGCATATATATTCGTGCAAGGTCATAAAACGAACCAGCTCATTGCTTATCTCTTAGGATACTAATCCTTAATTTCATGATGAACTGGAAAATACAGAAAATTTATTTTTTTCTAATTACCGTAATCCTTAGACTCAACATCGTAATCTAACATCTTCAAAATCTTAAAAATAGAATTTCAATTTCAAAAAAAAAAGAAAATAACTGAAATTATTATTTTCTGTTCTAAGGGTTTATTCCATAGATTAATAGCAATATAGATAGAACACTAGATGTATTTTTTTCCCAATTTAGGCATGGAAGACCAAAGCAGTTCGTTAGAACATCTATTGTTCTATCTGTATTGTTATTAATCTATGATCTATTTATTAACGGAAAAATGTGTATGTGCAGTGCAAATTATTTAAAATCTGGAACGCGGCATTATTTCGTGAACAAAATTTGAATGGCTTCCACTTTAAACAGTTAACACCTAAACTAAAAGTTCTAGAAATTATAACAGATGCCATTCTCAAATTTTCAAAAATATTGAAAAAGTTTCCAGAAATGTCTAAAATATTAAATAACAGCAAAATTGTTCAATTTTTTACATCACCGTCAATATTAAAGATTCACATTTTGTCCACATGCAGATTTAATAATTCGGTCCTTGTCATAGCAAACTCCTTGTCATAGCAAATTGTGATTTCCGATCACAGTTGACACATGAAGCATAACTTTTTTCTTTTCTAATCATACTATTTTTCGAAGAAAAAAATTGATTGTTTTTTTCTAGGCGATTGAATTTAAATCGAAGAAACTGAACGCATCATGCTCTGTTAAGTCCATGATCAGTCATTTTTTTTAATCTTAAAAACACATACAACAGGGTGTCCCAATACTCATGGGAATTGAGAGACGACTTGAAATTCGTCTTTGATTTCTGATATTTAATGCATGGCAAAGTCTAAAAATGAGGCTGTACGTCATACGAGCTTTACAAAAAGTGGTCTCTATATCCACCATTCTCGTGTTTTAAAAATTGACGAAGATATTAGATATAAGACAATTTTGTTTTATTAAATAAATTGAAATTTGTACAAATTTTCGTCAATTTTAAAAATTCAAAAATGGTAGACCTCATTATGAAAATCTCAAGACCAAGCGTTTTCGATATTAGATGTGTAAACTGGAATACTGCGATTATTGTGCCATATTGATCGAAGACGATATAAAAGTCGTCCCTAAATTGCCATGTTTATTGGGACACCCTGTATCAGTCTTCCATACACTCTTTTTCAATCAACTACAGTGAAACCCTTAATAACGAATACATCGAAGGAATTCATCAAATGTCGTCTTCTTCACTTTCTGATAATGGAATGTTGCAGATATTTAGATTTTTAATTAAATGATTATATGGAACTCTTTAAAACTGTTCCCGCATAATCATGGCTATTTATTTCTATTTATTTATTTTCCCAAATACTGAAATTTATGTAATATAGTATAAAACTCATTGAAAAATTGTCAAGACGACATTTGATAAATTCTTCCGATGTATTCGTTATTAAGGGTTTCACTGTATTTAAACCAAAGACTACATAAAAATCGTATATTAATCCCTATGTGTATTGGGACACATTGTATCTTGTAATGAATATAATAAAATAAATCTATTAAAAAATCATTTTGTTTGTGTAGAATGTCGTCGTCTTTTTGGTAATTTTCTGTAATATTTATAATTGACAAGTTTTTACCTGTTCCAGCCCTTCATCATTCAAAAGTTCTGAACTATCATCATAATTTGAATAATACAAATCTAAAGCTCCGGTATCACTGTTTAAGAACTGTAAAAGATCATCAACATTATTTTCGGATTCATCAATGTCGTCTTGACTTTCATAAATGTCGTCTTGTGGAGATTCTATTTCTGCCACGGGAAGGGGAAATAAGTTATCCAAATCATCTTCATACACCTCGTCGTTCATCAGATCGTCTTGAAACGCGTTGTTAAGATCGGCGGGTAGGATAACAGCATGAGAATCCAGATCTTCTGCCAGCAAAATATTCTGGAAATCATTGTAATTTTGGAGACCATCTTGATATTCACCTTGAAATGGAACTGCTCCAAAACTATAAAAAGTAAATATTAAAATTTCATTTTGACCTCTGAGCAACAAGAGAAACTTATGCAAGAGTTTTGTCTTGAATTCTTATTTACCAGTAAACATTGGAATTAAGTGATTAAGTGAAATCGTCTTTGATAGGAATTGTATTGCATAATTTTAATGATAAAGTTTCATCTGCTTGAGTGTATTTTAATGGTCATGATAAAGTTTCATCTGCTTGAGTGTATTTTAATGGTCATGATAAAGTTACATCTGCTTGAGTGTATTTTAATGGTCATGATAAAGTTACATCTGCTTGAGTGTATTTTATTTAAACGACAAAAGGCTGCTTTGTAACTCAGGAAGGCTTTGTATGAGTATGATATGTTTCTGGAAATTTCCATAGATTTATTAAAATAACAGATAGACACTAGATGTCGTCTTGAAATTATACACACAGAGAGTCTGTTATACGCCGACTACGCGTAACCCCTTTGGGCTTCTGTCTCAGGGTCATAGTGAACAAAACACTCATAAATCTTTAAAAGACGACATTTAGTGTCCTTTCTGTTATTTTATTTAGTCTAATAGTAATATATGGGAATTTCTTATTTTACTAAATTACTAAATACAACAATTTGCAAAATCAAACTATTTCCTATCCCTATGCAGAAGAAAATACAGCTTTCCTAGCAGGCATCACATGACTTTAAATGAAAAATATTTAACAAAGACGATCTCAAAATCTTCTCTTAATTACCATTTTTATTGTGTGACCCTGTATATTTACACGTTACACTAAAATTTGTCAGGTTTTAATTCATATTTTTACCACTCAATCGGTGACTTACCAAAAGGAGCAAGATATTGCGATGATTAGTTGAAAATATTTCATAATGAATTGAAACTATCGGTGTAAACTAAATAAATAAACTAAAGGAGAATAAAGATAAGAATGTTTAAAACTGATAAAATTTCTTCAATAATTTCCACTCACTATAACACACTACATATTTTAATATTCTATTTTTTTCTATATTTTTCCTAATGTTAGTTTTAAGCTCAAATTAAGATGTGTTTGAAAATTCAAGTTGGAGTTGTGGCTTATCAAAATATTAAAACCTGAATGTAAAAAAAAACTATGAAGAAAGGGCTTAATCATTTCTAGTTACTCATTGAACATGAGATAACGCCATCAAATATACGTTTTTTTTGACANTTCATTTGGTTTTATTTAAATTTAACAGAAGCGCCTCTCATTCAAAACAACCAACAATGGTTAGAGAGGCCCTGGCTAAATTAAAATGTAAAAATTGTGCAATTGTAATTGTTTTTTATTAAAATATTTAGTCAAATATATATCTATCTATCTACAAAAAACTGAGTGGTTATACAAATTTAATTTATACCCTAAGAATAATCATACAATAAAATGAACAAAAAATCATTAAGTATTAAAATTATAGCTTTTTGTTTAGTTTTTTCCTTTATAACTGTTTTTCCTCCGGATCAAATTTGTGCAAAGTTTAATGGGAGTGTAATTGCGTAATTTCAAGTGTCCCTCCATCTGCCGTCGGCAATATCCGATATTCAAGGATACTCTTTAAAGATTGATTTTAACAAATGTGTTACAAAAAAAGGGGGGAAAAAAGTTGCATTTTATCTTATCCAGATTAGCAAGAATCAGAGATTTTCAAAAATATTATAATATTTCCTATATATAGCTGTCATAATATCGTATTTAAAATGGGGCGTTAATATCACCCCCCCCCCCCACTCCTGTATGCCGAGTCCATAAGCGCCTAATCCAATCAGGGTTCAGTCATGTGTTTGGTATCTATTCTGAACCAATAGAAATAGCATGGCAGTAACATCTATCGTTATATCTAGCTCATTATCCAATTAGAGATATTAATCCTTATATCGGCGCTATAACAGGGAATGGAGATATTTATTCTGCCAGAGGCCGAATTTAAAGAATTTTAGCCGCGGCTTACATCTGATACGAGGCTCAAATATGGTTGTTTCCACTTAAAATTGTTTCAATGTTTCCAGATTTAAGCCGGCGCTCAATAGAAACCGGTTTTTGGCGGATTTGAGACGCGGATCAAATTCATTGAATTCGGACTCAGGGGAATTAAAGGAATGTCATAAATTTTATAATTGAAATAAAGCTCTTCGCTCATATATATATATATTGGTATGTAAGGGTGTACGTATGTTTATTTTTACTTTAGCTATACCAGACCAAACTGCTGGACCGAATGGGCTAAATTTTTTTAGAGAACCCAGGGTTTTTTCAAAATATTTTTTTTTTCAAAAATCAAAAAAGGTTTTAAATCGAATTTTTTCTTCAAAGTTCGATTTGAAAAAAATTCCACCGGCAAAGCCGGGCACTTCAGCTAGTAATTGATAACTATAATTTATAAAAACAATTTTGTATTTATTTCACAAATCTAAAAAAAATGTAAACGAATTTGTCGATTACACGTAAACTATTGTGTACAATTTAAAAAGACAATAAATATTTGATCTAAAAGAGAGTATGTCGGATCAGATTGGATCTAAAAGAGAGTATGTCGGATCAGATTGGATCTAAAAGAGAGTATGTCGGATCAGATTGGATCTAAAAGAGAGTATGTCGGATCAGATTAACTTATTATGTGATTGTTCTAAAATGTTGCAGTGAAGAATTAAATTATGGATCCTTTCCATTTTGATTGGGCCGTCAGTAAAAAATGATATTTTAAAAAAAAAGGTGATCACAAAATTATTTTCTATCTCTCATAATGCGACGCAGAACTTTTTTATTCGAGAACAAAATATTTATTCGTAAATTATATTGATGATATTTTTGTATTTGAATCCAGTTGCATAGATCAACATGTTTTTCATACCCACATCTAGGGATTCAATGTACTATGGAGTACGGATCCAGCGTACTCGAATCCAAAGCATTACAATATATATTTTAGGATGAAGGGACTGTTTGCTTTTATAATGATGTTGCTTCTTGTAGCATTTACGCTCGCCGCCCCCTCGGCTGATCCTCAATATGGCTACGGTGGTTATCCCTATGGCGGTGGAGGTTTTGATGGATACCCTGGGTTCGGCGGCGGATTCGGCGGAGCACAATCATCCGCCTCAGCCCAAGCCAGCAGTTTTGGACGATAAAATTTTATAATAATGATAATGTTTTATTAAAATTGTTTTAATGACTAAATAAATGTGTTTTTAATTTGAGCTAAATCCATAGATAAATTAGGCTAAATCCGAATAACATTAAAATAGATAGATAAATAGAAAGATAGATAGAAGGATAAATAGGTGGATAGATAGATAGATAGATAGATAAATATCAAATAGATAAAATCACGCAACCTTACCTGCTAAACTTACAAAGAGTCCACTTTGGCATTATTTTGTACCTCCCTCCCCCCGCCTTGGATAATTTAAAGTTGGGCGAGCTATACAGAGAAAATGAAAACGACTCATGTGAACCTAAGAAAAGATCGCTTAGTCTTTGGATTTATTAAAAACAAATGAAACACTTAACACCTTAAATAAAATCGGGGTTTACCATTTGTTAATTCATATTTTTATATAAAATTTAGAAAATGAACTTTAACAAACAAAAACATCTAAATTATGAATACAAAAACATTGTCTAAAGTTTTAAAACGGTGGTTTAAATATCATATTGACTTTTAAAAAAAATATTACACAAATATTAAAGTCGAGTGTGTCTACGTAATTTCAGGTGATGCTAATTAAAGAGTTTCAAAAATATTTATCAAACCTTTCTTTTTATTATTAGTTGCTATCCTAGTTTTTCTATCTGAAAAATTGAATATTTTCTATTCACATTTACTATTGAAGGGACTTTCGGATTTATGAGACAGACAAAAAGAAAAGAAATTTTAAAAAATGTCGTATCTTTACAAAAAAAAAACCCCGACGATATCCTCCTCATTCTTAAAAACCGGTTTTAAAGTTACCATTGTAAATCGGAAATGCCACTCTGTAATAAACCGGTTTAAAGTTACCATTGTAAATCGGAAATGCCACTCTGTAAATAAAAGTTTTAAAGTTACCATTGTAAATCGGAAATGCCACTCTGTAATAAACCGGTTATAAAGTTACCATTGTACATCAGAAATGCCACTCTGTAATAAACCGATTATAAAGTTACCATTGTAAATCAGAAATGCCACTCTGTAATAAACCGGTTATAAAGTTACCATTGTAAATCAGAAATGCCACTCTGTAATTAGAGAGTCACTTGAAATTAAGTATACAGTCCCTCTAAGAAAATTGTATAGTCCCATCAAAGTTTTAAAATCTAGAATTTAGTTTTAGTATTTTTTAATCAATAATTATAAAAGTTATAAAGGTACCCCCCTAGTCTCTATAGTATCTATAATTCTTTTCTACCATATAATCGGTGTAGATTGTAGAACACCGGTTGTTCTATTTATCTAAGATGGGACATATTTTGGTATAGATTTCCCTCGAAACTGTTGTAGAAATCCACAGTACATATTATATATATTGTACATGGTACATCTAAATAGAAATCCACAGTACATATTATATATGTTGTACATGGTACATCTAAATAGAAATCCACAGTACATATTATATATATTGTACATGGTACATCTAAAACCTGCACAATACACAATAAATAAATAATGAGTATGATGAAGGTAAAATGCTCAAAGGAGATTGTTTGGTGGATTATCGGTATTATTGTCGGATATAGTTTATATATAGATAATATAGGAAACTGTACGTTAAACCGTTCAATCCACTAAACTGTGTGCACACACACCCTATAAACTCACACACACTCACTTACAAAGATTTGGAATATATACAGGGTTACTCACAAAAATTGAGACTTAAAACACGACCGAAAGATTTCTGAATATAGCGACCTCTGACGGTTGAATGTGGTCTCTTAAGCCTTGAATATATGGTCTTTACGATCTACAAAATGATTTATACCCAAGAAAAAACAAGCTTTAAGATCTAGGTCTAATCCAAACAAGATCTTAACCAAGACAGAGACTGCAAGAGAAAAAATCCGGCAATTTCCGCACAGTCGTCTCTGAAGTCTCATCCTTTGTGAGTAACCCTGTGGAGCATGTAGAAATTAGAGCCTAGATAAGTTAGACTATAGATAGCTCATGTCGTCTTCACCATACTGGAGTGTTTGAGCTGAAATTGAACATATGAATCTAGCTCAGAGTCCGTTCTCTCTATAGATAGTGGTGGGTCCTGCATTCGCCCCTGGATAGATGTCTCATGCTGAATTGTTATCTAATAGATAGATAATTTCTCCGTACACTTGACGACCAATGTAGGAGACATCAAGTTGTCGACCAATGTATAGTTTATGAAGGAACGGCCTCTGTAGTCTATACCAGCTACGTCCATACAGTTCATACAGTACATTGAATAAAAAGTGTTGCGGCAGGTATTGTTCATACTTCGTACAAATGTATGGGGTGTTTTGGTTTGTATAAAGGACCAATGATACACACAATTCAGAATGACTACATAGATACTGATCAGTTAAATTTGTTTTCTACAGATCGACCCCGAGAAGTAAAACGTATTCATTCACCTTTTCTTATGACGAGTTCATGCATGATGTATACAAGGGTTGTACAATTTTAAGCTTTATATTCTAATGTATCTGGGAATTAGCAACTTTATGTGCTAAACTCATATTTGTCGTAACGTTTCCATGACTGTAGGACGCACTTCTACGGACGCACAAATGATAATGAAGATGCAAATTAAGAACAAACATCTACAGAGAATACAATATAAGAACTCAATTAAAGAAAAAAATTGAGAACACACTAGGATACCTAGCAACGAAGCACTTTGAGGACGCACAATAAAAGTGATATAAACACATACAGGGTGTCTCCTCGAACCATGATAGTTGAGAGACGACTTGAAGGTCTTTATTCCTACAAAATACCCCTGTCCTGCCATTTCCAAAATGTGGTCTGTCTTTTTAGTACTTTTTAGTACTACCGGATGAATTTTGTTCAGATGTCGACAATTTTTGGTTGAATATAGATAATTGAAATCTGAACTAACTTTATAATATCGTATAAAAAGCACAGAAAATGCAGGCCACATTTTAGATAATCAAGTAAATATAAAACCTGTTTTAATATTTTCGACGGATTTTGAATTATAGAGATAAAAATATGACTTAAACACACAGATACTTTGTTGTAGTTAGTTTACGTGAGATACTTTGTTGTAGTTAGTTTACGTAAGATACTTTGTTGTAGTTAGTTTACGTTAGATACTTTTTTGTAGTTAGTTAACGTAAGATACTTTGTTGTAATTAGTTTACGTGAGATACTTTGTTGTAGTTAGTTTACGTGAGATACTTTGTTGTAGTTAGTTTACGTGAGATACTTTGTTGTAGATAGTTTACGTGAGATACTTTGTTGTAGTTTGTTTGCGTGAGATACTTTGTTGTAGTTAGTTTACGTGAGATACTTTGGTGTAGTTAGTTTACGTCAGATACTTTGCTGTAGTTAATGTGAGATCCTTTGTTGTAGTTAGTTTACGTGAGATACTTTGTTGTAGTTAGTTTACGTGAGATACTTTGTTGTAGATAGTTTACGTGAGATACTTTGTTGTACTTTGTTTGCGTGAGATACTTTGTTGTAGTTAGTTTACGTGAGATACTTTGTTGTAATAAGAGCTAATAAATATGAAACAGCAGTTTGTTTTTAATTTTTATTTAATCACGACTTCAAGGTGCAAATTTGGGTTGATAACACATATAACAAAATACTTCTCACTGGTTCATCAGAAACACTTTTTTCAAAAAAAATATATTTACAGGTTTAAGTTTGAAAAAAAGTGATTTCTGGCAGTTAGTGCAAAATTAGCTCGGTAAGGTATCATTTATGTTTTTTTATATAACATGTATTCATAAATAGAACTATTATCCTGAAGCTACCTAGAGCCTACAGGGTTGCAAATATTTAGGCAAGAATAGCAGAGAATCTCTGCAATAGTTGTTAGGGATGTATTGAGCTGAGAAAATATAATCGTCAAAAAATTCTCCAAATTCTTGAAAGACGTTTTCTCTAGGCCTTTTTTAGCAGCTAAAATTTTACTTTTTCGATTTAACCGCCCACTTTATCACACATTTATCCCAACACCTAACATAAAAATACACAGATACAAAGTTTACAAAAATCTTCTAAAAACTGGAAAGAAATTAAATCACAATGAATCAGTTCAGCTATAGTTAATGATGCTGTGCAGTGCTGCACAACATTGTGAACGCAGAATGCGCACTAGTTGTACAACACTTGTACAATGTACATAACCGTGGTAAAACTACATGCAACAGCGGTACAGTTTACACTGTGTACAACATAAATCAAAATATACAAATTATTCTAGAATATTCGAATCGATATGGAATTTTTAACATTTCAATTGATATGCTTATTATAATTAAGTTACAGTTTCGATAATTAACACATTTTGGAATGTCTTTTGATATAGAATCTTTGGTAACATTTTACATGATATGTGATGTTTAACAAATAAATAACAAAAAGACTAGTTTATAGGCAATATAAGTACAAAAAATAGCCTTATTAAAGGCATAGTTTGGGAATGTCTATTTTCTTCTTTGGTTCATATAATTAAGCTCATGGGATAACGGGTTAAACTAGATATGTTAAAAAGCTAAGATATGCTGGTGTATAAAGGACCAATTAGAGATATATTTTTAATAGAATATTCTATGTGTTAAGAAGGTTTCATATAGCAACGTTCAATAAATAGGCGACACTTCGTTTTACGACAATCAGGCTACAGGGGTTCAGGTTACACTGCACTTCTATACAGAAGAAAGGGGGGCATTTGGTAATTGGGGTTCATATGCCCTAGAAAAGGGGGTTTGGACCCTTAGAAAGGGGGAGTGGAACCCCTTAAAATTGGGGTTTCTGCACCTTCCTTAGCATGCACCTTAGAACTCCAAAAAAGGAGATATTTTAAAAGTATCTAAAAGCAGTTCAGGTGTTGAAGGCCTCTTAGGAGATTTCCATGGGAACTTGTCTAGGAGCAGCTAGGGGCTTCTCAGGGGTCACATTGTTGTTGTTTTGTGTTGGATTGGAAGGAGATTCAGGGGCTTCACAAGGATCTATTTCCTAAAATAAAAACAAAAATTTATAAAAAAAAGTAAATTTATCATTAAAAGATGTTTTAACCAAAATTTCCAATTCATTCCGTCCCTTAAAATCCCGGGTCAATGGTAGCTGCATGTTGTGTGCCACCTGTTAAGGGAATGTGATTGAAAAATAAAAGAGCACTTATTTACCTGATCATCCCTATTATCCTCTTCATTAGTTACATCCTCATCCTCGTCCTCTGGATCTCCCTCCTCCTCAACTATCTTGAGGTCACGAGGACAAGGAATATCGTTGCTATTTTCTTCTCCTGGATTCCATATTCCATAAGCCTAGAAAAATAGTCAAAAATTAGCAAAAAAAGTTGATAGTTTCGATTTCCGCCAAAAAAATTTCTTAAATGGGTTTTGATGTTCTTCATATTTTACCTGTCCTATATCAAGAAGACTACTGTAGTTACTTCCCTCCTCTCCAGCTGCCGCCGCGGCGGCTGCGGCGAGTGTCTCAATGGAGGACTTGGTCGGTGTGGCGGAAGATCTGCCCGAGGGCGGAGCCCCGGGAGATCCTTCCTTGTTAATCCCCATAGCCTTCAGGTACCGCTGGTAATGTCGCCTGAACAAGACAAAAATGTTTATGAAAACGAAAAATAATTTTGATAAAATTGTAATTAAAAATAATAAAATATAATATTTAAAAAATTAATAGATGGCAAACGATTGAATAAAAAGATATTATTGTGCCGTAAAAAAAACATGGTTAAAGTAGAAACATGGAAGGAAAACAAACATGGCGGACATGGCGGACGAAAAAAATCATGGCGGATGGTAAAAAACGTGGCGGATAAAAGAATAATATGGCCGGTAGTAATCAATTCCGCATGTAGTGGAAGCTTAACATTACGTTTGATATAAATCCTTTGAAGATTTTATAGGTGCTTGGCAGGGAATAATATCATGTATTTCTTCAGCTCAATGCAGGGTTATGTTTCTACCTTAGATTTAGTTTGCAAATAAAATCAACAAATTATATTCAATAGGATGAATGGAAGGAGAATAAAAAGATGAATGAATGAATGCATAAAGGTTGAAAAGAAAAGTAAAAAGAGACTGAGAGAAAATAATTAGAAGAATGAATCAAAAACAAATAGATTTTCATTTACCAATTAAAAAATGCATAAGCACTCTTTACGATTTTTCCCTTCAAATAAGAGGTCATTCAAATTTAACGGCGGAATAATTGTGCCTCGCCCCCCCTAAATATAATCTTACAAAAGACTATGTAACGTGTTATGCAAAATGTTGCAAAAAATTACAATCTTTATTTACTATTATGATAATAAAGAGCATTAGTTTTAAATCTCAAAATTCAGAAAAGCTTTTCAAAAAGTTTAGAAAACATGTACTTTTCCGCATTTATGCAATTATATTTTATTCATAGAGGGGTCTAGAACATGTCATAGGTTTAAAGTAGATGGAAAAAAGGCTGCACAATTATTGAAAATCTAGATGAAATAAAATTACGTTAAATATAAAAATATGCTTATGTGTTTTTTTATGAACAATAAATCAATCAATGTTGAAGTAAAAATTTATCATAAACTATGGCCTACAATTTGATGGAGCACTTATTTTCATGTACACTCAAAATTTCACTTGGTTGTCCCAGTTTATTAAAACTAGTATTAAGATAATTCATAACTCTAGAAATAATAAAAATAACGCGGATGATTTATTACCTTAAAGTCTCCCTTGGAATGTGGTATTTGGTCGCTGCAGACTGTACGCTCGCACGATTATGCAGAATTTCTCCAATTGCGAGCTGAAGCGAGTGTGTTCTTCGGGATTTCATGAGCTCAGGTGTTATGGCTGGCAGGGACTCCGGAGCTCCGTTAGAATCGGCATATTCGCTTAAAATCTTGTATTCTGCTGCAATCATTCGCTCTAATCGGCTTCCTCGGCCCTGAGGCTTCCGGGAGCCACTTCCGGTTTTTTCGGAACCCATAGACAATATGTCAGATTTGCTGTCGTCGTTGTTGATCTCAGATTCAGACATGGGCGGACTTCTTTCGGCGATGTCGTCTTCCTCCTTCAGATTTGAATAAGCGGCGATCCTAGCTGAGTCTGAGAGGTCCAATGGATGTTTTCCAAAATAGTCTTTTAGAAAAGGCATTTTCAGAACAGGTGATTCTGGATCTACTGGGAAGCCATGTTTTTGTCCTAGAGATACAGGGTACTTGCGTTTTAGGGCATTAAAGAGGTTTGGAGAGGTAAGTTGTGAATATATATCTGTGGGATCGCCGGCTGGAAGCCCGTGGAAGAATCCGGGAAACTTTGGCTGGCCTGGAAGACCGGCGACTAGCGCAGACGTGAAATGATAGGCTTTGTTCATATTAGTCACAGATTCGGGCACACTTGTTGTAAGCTTGGAAGTATCTTTAAGGCTAATGGGTGGGGTATCTCTGGGAGTAGAACTATGGGGAGTTGTGCAGACTGAGGTAGGAGTAGGTCGTCCTTCTTCCTCCCTTAGTTTCCAGGCAGGAGTACCTTCTCCCTGGCTCAATCCTTTCACCTGGAGTGTATCTGCAAATTTTAAAAAGTCGCTGAGATTAGATTCATCCACCTCCACCTCTCCTCTATACATAAACTCAAGCAGGTCGTTCAAGATCTGTTCGCTTGCATCCTTGAACACTATCACAGGATGCTTTTCCGGTAGATCCTTGAACAGGCGGTAAAAGTAGTCGGAGCAAGCAGCTAGCACCATTCTATGGGCAGGGACGACCTTCCCGGAGCTGCAGGTCAGCGACACGTCGACCAAGCATGAGGTGTCTAACAGGTGTTGAAAGGAGGACAAGGTGTTAAGACTGTGGTTGTTCCACTTTAAATGAAACTGTTGAGTTTCCATGTTTGACAAGGTTTTCTTTGGCTTTCTTTAATCTAGGGGGTTATTTCACTAGTGACATCTTTGGTTAGATTTGGATGTTGGTTAGTTAGTTTATCAGTCACTAGGTAGAGTTAGTATTGGTTAGCTAGCACTCCTGTCATGCACTCACCTACAAAATGGATGCATTGTTAATTTTATAAAACAAAATGAAGTATTAGATTAATAACTGTAAAATGTTAGTTTTTACTGTTTAAAATTATTAAATTTACCAAATAAATACCCCCTCCCCCTCATGTATTTTAAGATTGTTCTATTTTGCATGATGCCTGTAAATCTAACTATTTTCCGCAATCCACCTATTTAGGTTACATTTACGAAACATCTGTATTATTTTTCCAACCCAATACAGTGAGTAATTGTTTTAACAGGCCAGGGGGGAGGAGAAATTAATATTTGTGTAGTTAAAAAAAAAACAAAAAAAAATCAGCTTCCTATTATAAGTTATTTAACAGTTATAATCTGTTGAAATAATGTACGTACATTACATGAACCTAGATGAAATTAGAACAACGTGAAACGCCCCAGAACTGATATGAAACCTTGAGACAGGAGGAAGATAAGGAATTGGGGACAAAAGCAAACAAAACAGGACTTTCATACACACCACCACAATATCTCTTTGTCGAGTACAGTTTAAGCCTAATGAGTCATGGATTTAGGGTGCCAGCAAAAATTGTAAATTTTCCAAAGAAATTTCTATAATTTCTAAAAATGTTTTATAAAAAAGTGATTTTGCAAGAATTTATAGTTTTTGAAAGATGTGCTAGGTTAGATATGAGGGAGGGTAGAATAGGTTGCACAGCTGGAAAAACAAGTGTTTGCAATAATGAGCCCCCCTCTTAACTCTCTAGCATGTGTTATTTATAGAGATAGATAACTCACTAGTGGGTTCCACGCCATTTCCTAGGGTTTATCAAATAAAATATATAAATTGATTAAAAATAATGGTGACAGTCGACTTTTTTAGAACATAAGTTTTGTAGAGCTTCGAGTTTGAAAAAGTCTTATCATTGTGAAAACCTAGAGACCTATTGTTTTAAAGTAGGTGGACTCCTATGGGGCGTATACACATCTTTATAGGTTAAACACGACCCCTGTATATTCCAGACAATCATCGCCATTTTTAAACTAAATTTAGCAATAAAACGGAATTTAAAAGTTTAAAAGAGAGAGAAATACTTGGTTTGAGGTAAAGTTTCAAATTACAGGTTAAATACTGTATATATATATAAATATATATATATATATATATATATATATATATATATATATAAATATATACAGCAATGCCACCGTTCCACTTACAATCAAGCGTGTCCCCTTGCCTGCCTTAATTAAGTGACCTTTGTGTAAATAAATGATAAAATCAGGCCACTCTCCTCAAAACATCTAATTCAATCTTGGATTTTCTTAACTTCCATAGACAATTGTGCAACACAGAAATCCCTCTCTAAAAATCTTCGAGTTTTTGCCCCAAACTCAAATTTTCTATCCCTATATTTTTTAACCCTGATTGTGTAAACCTGTGCTATTTAATACTTTTGGATGATTTGATTTGACAGAACTACCTTAGGTTGCAAAGATATTGGGATTACACCTTTTAGCTGCAACCACATAGTTCCAAACAAAATCCTTAGCGATACTTTTCATTATTCAAAGAAAAAGAAAGACGAAGAGAATTTTCATTTTATCTGGTTCTCGTTGCATTTTTCCTAACTAATTTTATCAAAAAGTTCCAACCCCAGTACAGAAGATATATATATGTATATTCTCTTGTTTGTATCACAATGAATGCCCGAAGTCAAATTAAACCCCGAACCCCCATCAAATATACTCATGATGTGGAGTTTGAGTTCCAACTCAAACAATGAGAATATTTCAAATAAATATAATACAACAAAATTTCTTAAAGATTAGAAAATAGAAATGCTTCCGATTTTTCCGGAAACCCCTAGCTCCAAGCTGAACTAGATAAAAATCCGCGAAACTTGCAATTTCTGACGTCAGACTGATTTGTGAGTGTCTTAAACTCAATATTTTAATAAAAGTTGGTTAAGAACTGCGACAACCTTCCCTACTCTTCTATACAAGCAAAACAACCCAAAATTAGGTAATAAGTCCGCAGTAATATTGTCAGGCAAATATAGACAAGGGGGATTCAAACAAAAAGTTATTAAGGTAGAAATATGATCCATGCATGAGGTTAAAAATTAACAAAACACAGAAATGTGTACAATGTACAATTGTTACTGTTAAATGTTGTATTTATAGTACATAATAAAATGCGTGCACACTCCGCAATAATTAATATTAACATTGGTTTAAAGCGCGCCATGCACAGTCCAGCGGCAAATCATGCACATGCGCGCTTATAAACGCCAATTTCCTTTTTCGTGCGCTCATGATAGAAATCTTATTAAATATTTGCAGTACATACCTCGTTTGTATAATAAGTTAACTATATTCTCCCAAAAATATGCAAGTATGGGTAGTTTAATAGCTGTATATGATGGGCCCCTGAAACACCAAGTGGGTGGGACGGAACGTGCTAAGGGTTGTGGGACGGATGAGCTACTGAGCTCCTGAGTTACTGAGTCAGTCCCCGAAACTTTGAACGGACCGCTACCTAGTACCTATCCCGGGCCCACCACCAACACACCGGAAGGGGCAGTCCACCTGTCAGGGGCGCAACATGCTTCCGTACATTTATCTTATTTCCGTTGACATTTATCTTATTTCCGTTGACATTTTACTTATTTCTGTTAACATTTATCTTATTTCCGTTGACATTTATCTTATTTCCGTCGACATTTTACTTATTTCCGTTGACATTTATCTTATTTCCGTTGACATTTATCTTAAATTTCCTTTACAGTTTAAAAATACATTTCGTCCTTTATTTTGTTCATTAGTAGACTACTAGACATACTAGACAGTAGACATATTAGACATTAGACATATTTAGAGATATTATTTTTTAATTTTCTGAATTTTCTATGCAATTTTGCCTCCTAAGTAGCCTTTCCGATTTACAATGGTGCCATCAAAATGGTTTTCAGTGTATCGTTGTGAATCGGTTCTCTAAAGGAAGGTCACTTATAATTACGTGTACAGTCTCTTAAAAAATAACTATGCACAATTAAAAACACATCTAAAGAAAACTAGGCTCTGCTTAAAAAGGATTTGAATTGATCTAAATTGTCTCCGGTTTAAAATTATTTGATGCGCCTAGAATACATCAGTTTGTTAACATTTCTTTTACTCCAGGCATATTGCTTGTACATGAATTACATAGCATCATTGCAGTACGCCGTGTACTGTATTAATTCCAAAAGGTAAATAAAAAAAATCATGGAAATAAAATAAATCGATTTCGATTATCATCATTTCTTAACATCGATGAAGATTTCAGATAAAATTTTAGAATTAAAAAAGTTCAGGACTCTGATTTTTGGAATGTTTACGAGATCTTAGGCTTTCGGGAAACCCCATAGAAATATGCTAAATCTAACATCAATTCAAAAGCGAATTCTGTTAATTTGAAATTGTTCCCAATTTAACTTTAAAGAGAAGATATAAACTAAGTGTTTAGGCTGAAATATCTGTGAAAGTCAACAAGACACTCGTATACATGTTCACTATAGCCGGCCAAACGGCTGGACCAAATGGACTGATTTTTTTTGTGGACACTCCTGGGTAGCCTGGGGTTGACATAGGTTGAAAACCTCGAATTTTCTTTTCTTAATTTCTTAATTTTATTTTCTACATTTTTAATTTTTTTCCCCACGGGCAACGCCGGATAGTTTAGTTAGTATAATATATATATATATATTTATATATGATGCCAGGTGCCTTTTTAAACTAATAATTCACTTATCGTGGTAGGCGATTATATCAATACAATGAAGACAAATTTTTTATTTAAGTTTTGATTGATAACAAGCTTTTTATGAATTGAAAGTTTACAAGTAATTAAAAAGAAGATGTTTTAATTGACAGCTTCTCTTGACTTATTTGTGTTTTTGTATCCATGCTGTTATCCTCCAATTTAGTTGTTATACATGTCCAATTTACACCGGTACCCTTTAAACCTCTGTCAGTGTAACAATGAGGAATTATATCGTTGTTCTTGTGGCTTGAAAAGAAACCAATTCTGCTAAATATCTTCTTGACTCTGCTGCATAAATATAAATTTAGATTTTCATCAAAAGGTTGTGAATCGGGTATTTAACTTATTAGGTATAATGTGCAAAACTTTATAAAAACTATTTGTTAAAATTTGCACAAGATAAATTATTTCATAATAATTAATGGAAGAGTACAATAGTCATAACAAGTATCAATTATATAACAAATATCAATTATTTATAACAAATTATGTAACATTACTGATAAAGTGCTTCTGAAAAAAAAATTAAAAAAGAAAACTCCTTAAATCCTAGTATTCTAAAAATGTAAAATATTTAAAAAGATTTTCACTGTTTTTGTTTCCCTTTCATGGTTTCAAAACTTTTAATACACTCAGAGATGAAACTTTATAAGAGGGACATATTGTTTTGTCCCCCTCGCCCCCCCCCCCTTATTGACCAGTACATCCCCCCTCTCCCTTTCTTATACACCGCACACAATACTTAACAAGTATTAAACAAATAACCCCGCAAGTAAGTTCCTTTTTTATTCTCTTGAAGATAGTATTCATAACTCTCCCCCATCAACATATTTTTGTTGAAAAAATACGTTTTAAAACTAATTTTACAGAACTACCCTGCAGTCCCCCGGACCCTTCCCTTTATAATTAATTACAACCCTTTTTCAGAGAAATTCAGGGAGTTTTTAACACCAGTTTGGACTGCAAAACATCCAAGGCGTAGAAAGGGTATTCAAACTATCTGATGAATTTAAAGATCGAGACTTCAAGTTGCATGGAAAAATAAGGATTTGAGGAGATTAATCAGTTAATTTCAGTCTGGAAAAGTAAGAAAAATAAAAATGACTTTTTTTCTTACTTATTTACCTTGAAGAGAAATAATACGCCAGAAATATGATATTAATTACTTCCGTAGTAAATTGGAGGATTTATGGGTCCATATTTGATAAGGAACGTATTCTGTTTTTATCTTGAAATAATTTCCCCCTCTCCATAATTTCCCCTGGTAAACCTATCCAACCAAACTACCCATCTTCAGATTCCCCGTAATGCCTGTTATGGTTCTACAAGTAAACCATATGCTTGACCCCTCCCCTTCTCCAGGACTCTCCCCTCGACACAGAAAATATAAATCAAAGTTACTGACCTT